ACAGTTTGGATCGATTCTACCTAAAGTGCCTACATACCTACATCATGAAAATCAGATGATCTGATCGGGTGCGTCGTACTGAAGTTTTAAAGACCAGCCAATATCGTTAGCATAGAGATATTGCAATTAAAATTGCAATAGCCTTTAAGTATTACAAACAAAAACCACAGTAGCTTTAAAAGTATTCTGAAATCTTTTTTTGAGCAAAATCCTCTCTATTCCTTGAATGAATTTTTGACGATGCGTATAAGCGAATCTACTTTTATGACATGATGTAATTAGATACTGTAAGTTTTATTTTTTCTCTTGAGATTAAGATTTAATTGAACTATAAATTGTGAACTGACATACCTTGTATAACAATATTGTTATAAATGGCTAATAAATAAATTGAAATTGAAATTGAAATAGCCAATAAAGTTGCAAAGAAATTTTCAGCTTTTTTTTGGCGCTAATTGAGATACAAACTTTAAAAAAAAACATCTTTATAGCATAATTAAAATTTGTTCACAATCAAAGTGCTAAAGCTTTTTTAAAATTAAAATTAATGTAGAATTACCCTGCAGCTGAAAATAAATTGTTTCATTAATAAAACATACATAAACACCAAGTAACTCACCCATGGGGTCGCTTGGATCTAATTTAAAAAACGGTACGCAGTTGTAGACTTAATTAAACAGAAACACGGAACCGGGACCGATAAAAAAAGGTCCATATTTGTTGCAAGAAAGATGAAACAACCCGCTCGTTGACAATTAAATGGCCCTGAAAATTACAATCACAATATAAAAACGGTCTACATTACCTGCTATTTCTCACTTTCCATATTTCCCGCAATAAAGGCTAAACGGAAATTTAAATTTCAGTTGACATTGTATCATATTCCTAATACATGTAGTTTTCCATGGGCATTCAGCAGGGGTACCTGACTTGACGAATTAGTGCAGGGAACAGTAAATAGATCAAACACGTCTTGCTATTCCCAAAAAAATACTGGTACCTACGGTCAAAGATAAGGTAAAAAATGTATTGTCTGCAGGGATATTACAATAACATTCGGTATTAAAGTTGATAGTGTCATACTCCATGGATAGAAGGATAGAGAAGAAACTTATGAATCTGAAAGGATGTAGAAGCTATAGAAGGTCAAGACTAATCTTTCTCGATCATATTAAGCACGTATACTTTCAAAGATTAAGAAAAAAAGAGATATTTCGTTTTCTATTTGCCATAACAAACAAACAAAGAGAAAAAGTATATAATGATACAGTAATAAATATGATTACCCATCGAATAAGAAGTCATAAAAACCGGCGAGCTTGTATGGAAAAACTTATGAATGTCAAGGAAGTGAAAGACGTGAGTAAAGGTAGTAGTGCCTTGTGCTACTCGGTTCTCTTTGCGTAACTCCTAGAACAGGGGTTGGCAACCCTATGAGACAGGAGAGCCAGAAGCTACAATTTACATAATTTTCAAAGAGCCACTAAATGATTTCGTATTAATAATATACATCTCATATTTGAGATTTTATTCAAAATAATATCTATCTCTCAGTTATAGTCAGTATGTCTCAATCGTATCTATTATAGTATAAATAAGTATGGATCGATTACACAATTAGAGGGGTTTCGGCAATAAATTAATTATTTTTTGTTAATGGAAATTGCGTGTCGCAACTTTCAGTTGTGTGGCAAAATTTAGCAAATGCTTTGTCTCGTTCTCTCTTTTAGCTCGACAAAATAGCTGCGTCCTTGTCAGTACTGTTTCGCAGGTAACTAACTACAAGTGGCGTTACACAAACGCACATGTTTGGTAGATATTTCAAGTTGGCTTTTCGCAAATATTTTGCTTTCGCAATCGAATGTGTCGGTATACTCTCGCCCATAGATAATACAAAAATTGCCGTCAGAGCATTGAAAATAAACCATTGAGCCCGGTAGCCAATATATATAAAATCAAAATCATTATTAATAATTCTGTCGTACTGAAAACAGTTGATACATTATTACATGTTATGTCAAAATCCAAAAGGTTTTAATTAGGTATATTTATTTTACCTGCTTATGCTATGCGAGTGACTTTACCCACTTAATAAATAGATTGAAAGCAGTAATTTACAGAACAGCAATGCAGAACACTTATCGTCCAAATTATACTTTTTTGGAATAAATTAAAATCGTGACATTGAATTATGATTTGTTCTTACGCTCAGTTTTCGACATCAAATGAATGTCACGAGACGTTTGTAAAAATTGCACAGTATTTTTAATTTTCATTTTCACAATGAGACTACATATTTTAAATGGCGCGCCGAGACCACAAGGTCGGGTTCGGTGCTGTCTCCCGGCGGTACGCCTTCATTTACTAGTTAAAATATAAAACTCATTAACCAAATGTAGTCAAACTAAATTTAGAACCTACGATTGTTCACTAACCACCAATAAAAGCTAGTTCCAATTTCAATGTAGTTAGGTATATAACTAAATGACTTCTAAAATACGTTTATTTGTATTTTCATTTAAGTTGTCTGTATTTTTTACTTTAAACGGAATAATAAACTCTTATTTAAGCATTATCTATTATTATCTAAATATAATAGTAGTCGCCTGATTTTTGATATTTGATTGAATTTAATACGGAACCAGCTCATGCCTGATTGTTAATCAGACACTGCCAATGTTTCTTATACCTTTTTTGAATTTATACACTGTTTATTGTTTTTATCTCAATCTCTTCTTTACTCTCGTATGACATATTTGTAGGAGTTCATCTTTCATTCATTTTATGTTAATTTTAAATGTAAGAATTATATTTTTTATTAAAACACTTGACATTGGCAAAGTTGTGCCAATGTCAAGTGACTATTATGTCTATCATATCCACTGCGTATGTTTGTGTATTTTTAGATCTACTACGGTTCTTGATTACTAGACTAATAAAAAAAAAAATAGAAAATCGATTAACAATACTCGGAAAAATAAGTGGACATAATTAAAAAAAAAGATCGCCATACAAACTTACCCGTTTCGATTTTGGAGCCATTTAAAAAATAGCTGAATAAAGAAATAAAAAATAAGTATATGTAAGACAAGGGAAATTATTCTAAAATAAAAAAGTAGTAGCGACTAAAGTTATTGATCATGTGTTCGTTTATTGTTTCAGGGAGGTGGTACACAATGTGGCGGAGTAGGCAGTCAATGCGGGCGGGTTGATCATCTCTCCACATGCCGACAACACTCTGCAGTCAGCAGAAAGGTAATTCTATTTATGAAAATGCTCTTCTGTTAGGTACGCGTGTATTTATTATGACATCCTGGGGTGCGAACGCCTAACTTTCTAGCCATAGGATTGTGATATTTAGTTTCAATTTACTACTTTGACATGTAATTTCATCATCACCAGCCCTTTTACGTCCCCACTGCAGGGGCTCAGGCCTTCCTTATGGATGGTTAAGGATGGGCCATGACCCTCCACGCTGGTCCAATGCGGATTGGAGGGTATTAACGACTGCAAATGCAGCCGGGACCAACGGCTTAACGTGCCTTCTGAAGCACGGAGTAGCTCGAGATAATAATTTTTTGGTCACCCATCCCGTGACCGACCCTTGCGAAAGTTGCTTAACGACTACGATCGCGGGCCACAGCGCTTATCTACTACGCCACCGAGCTACTCCGACATGTACTTTAATGATGAAAAAGGATGATTATGGATTTGATAGCAATGTTACATAGTCATTATTCTAAATTTTGACATATATTTTGGTGGACTGCCAAAATATATGTCAAAGTTATAAAAGGAAATAAAAAATCGACATATAACCGTTAAGCTGTCGTCTTCTATGTCTAGATAGTTGGACGGTACATCTGATTTGTAAAAGTTTAATAACTCTTTTATTGAGGTTATACTTAATTGCCGAGGAGCTCGAAGACTAGCATGTTCGGTCTGCAATTAGTAGGATGGGTAACCAAAAAATTGCACCAGCGGAGGTTTCACTGATACAATCTGATGATAATGATAATTTAGAACTAGGTCATTACAATTATTGTACTGATGTTTTACTTTTACCGTAAAAGACACTTGATTTTACAAGAATTTCTTCGACCACGATCAAGCAGTAACTTTCAGTGACAGTCCAACAGTACATTAAGTTTAAAAATACCTACCGTGGCTGCACTATGTTGTAGGACAAATTGTCAGCCATTTGTTAAATCCCAACTACAATTTGTCAAAGGATTATCCACCTAGTATATGGATACGGAATAAGTTCAAACATTTTGTTTGAGCAAAAGGAAAAAATCCGGAAATTGGCAGCAGGTAAGGTAACCCTACTGACACATATCAAGGAGGATTACTCGCTACATTCGAGATTAGACAAGAAATAAGGGAATCGAATTGTTAATGTAAGTTGATATCTAATATATGTTAAACGTCTATTATTGATGTTTATTTTATTTACTTAATATTAAATAAATAAAATTGACTTATAGTAAAGTTGTAAATGATTATAACATCACCAATGTGTTTAAAACCTTATTCAGTTAAGTTCATTTAACGTAGTTAAGTTTTAAATTGTTGCGTTTCGCTTTCGTTGCGTGTGTTTGAACCCATGCTAGATTTCAAAATCAGAACATTCAGCTTAATATTTATCGCAAGGAAAAATTAAAAAGTATAGTCTGGTCTGGTTTTCAATTTCTTGCTTATCATAAGATACATAGACAATATTTTGATTGTTTCAAAATGTTGGCTACATCACATCAAAATAATATCATGGAGCTTATGCAATATGTCGATTGTAAACTGATTGATCTAAGTAACATTATTTCTTTTAATATCGAAAAAATGGCTTATATCAACTAGCCTTTCGATCGTTAAATGATGACAAATTTTATAATTACTTTCAAATAACAAACAAACTTAAAAAATCAATTTGTATATAATTAATGTTATTTTTCTAAAGTTAATTAACAAATTAAGTGAAATGAAATTTTATACAGATTTAATCAATTATTAGAATCTTCTAAAAGTTCGTCTTCATTATTAAAATTTTGTGTGGACACATCGTATTTATGTGCAGGTGATATTTCTGTACCATCCATATCTGCAAGTTCGGCATCCGTAAATAATTTTGCCAATTCTAATTTAAGTAAAACTTGCCGCCTCGGGGTCAAACGTTTGAAAGTATCGGCATAATTTAAAAATAGATAATCAGTTCTATCCAACTTATTTGTGTCATCTTTTTTAGATGTTTTTGATCTAAGATAGTCTATAATTTTATCAGAAGGATCTTTATTTATCCTCTTTCGTCTGTTTCTGTCAATATTCTGTTGCTGTACTTCTGTATTATGATTAATGTTTGTGTCCTTCAACCCTATGGCAGATAATGTATTTGTGGTTAACATGCTTGTGCTCGCTTGTATGTTCGATTGCGTATTCAGAATTGTTTCTAGATTTATTTCTAGAGTAGAATTTAGAGGAGTGCCTTCAATCGTTTTCATATTTATGTATCCATCTAGGAACTGCATATGTGATGCCCAAACCCAATTTTTCAACTTTTTAACTGCTAGTTTGCTAGTGGTGTCCGTAGACTTTTTATGCTTTTTATAGGTGTCACGTAAATTCTTCCATTTTTCTTTCACAGCATCACCTGAAATATTCATTAGTTAATTATATTTATTTATCTAAGACGATTAAGTATCTACTAGTAATACAATTAAAATTAATGAAATTATTTCCATTCCATGTAAGTAATTCACCAATCTTATTAAAAGATTGTACAACAACATGAAAAAGTAAAGAAAATAAATAATTTATTCATACAAATAGTTATACCAGTTATAATAGTTATAACAGTACCTATTACAGAAATCCGAAATAACGAAAAGGTACTACAACGTCCACACCTTAGACCATTAGAAAGAAAAGTTCATTATTTATATTGACGCCACCGAGAATCTAACGTGGGACCTCAGAGAGTGCGACGCTGCAAGTCAATCACTCACGGCCGAATAGAATCAAATACTATATAATAAGAAACGAAATCATAAACATTTTTTACATATTTCACACTTATAAATTGAAATAAAATTCTATTGTCACTATTTGTCAAAAAAATATAAATAAATTTAATAAAAACATAATAACGCCAAAGAATCTGAATGAATATAGTTACATAATTATATAAAACTAGATTAAATATGAAATAAAGTAAAGTAAAAAGAGCAGAGTTATGCTATCGTTTCAATAGTTTCACCTGCTATAACAATCTCTTTTTTTCTATTCTGTGGTAACAATAAAGTATTTCGATCATGAGCATGAGGCAAAGAGGCCGGCGCTGGCTCCTCCTGCCTCTTCACCTCATACCCCGGGTTCGCCCGCATGCGCGCGAGCAGTGTTGTCTGTTGTCACATCCATCTGGTTACGTTTTACGGTGATGTAACATTTTATACCTAATTGTTAAGTTTATTGATAGTGTTTAGATATTGATAGTATTTAATTGTTATAAATAAACACCACCAAAATTTATTAACTTACCAGATTCAAATCCGATTAGATTGGCAATATCTGTCCACGCTGCAGCCTTTTTAAAACTGTTTTTAAAGTCACTGTTACTCAAATCGTATAAAAACGGCCTTTCTCTCACTGCTTCTATCAATTTTTCTGTATAATTATCCATTTTTATAATAAAAAACATGTATTGACACTTTAAACGCTGCTGAATTCTACCGACACGTACGAACTTGTAGCGAAACCAGGGCGAACTGATTTCGTTACGTTATTGTTCCGCTAGCTGTGTGAATGAAAGAGACGCACACATTATTCACCGCTTTGTTTCGTTTCGGTCCCGGTTCACTTCGGTCGATGTTGTGTAGAATTACGTAAATTTCATTGATAACCTTAATGCATTTAGTTAAGTCCAATTGTTACTAATACCATATGGATGCATAAATCTGAAATAAATTTGATTATTATTTTCGTTTAAAATCGATTGAGTTTTAACATATTGTGGTAACCGTACAGCATCTCTATTATAAACATTATCAAATTCATCACCTAAAAAAATTTTTTTCCCCATGTTTTTAATTGTATCTGCCCTAAACTGTCTTCATTTTACAAGTAACTAAATAGACTAAATTAAAAAGCAACTTAAACAATTACATTAACTAGCATGTCAACATTGACGTCATCATAACGCCATATTAGAAAAATAGGTCACATTATTAATTTCATGTACGGCGAAAAAATATAATAATAACATGACCTCGCGACACGGCAGTAAAACTTCCTACCACTGCGCTTTGCATGACACTGTTGCGAAGCTTATGTTAATATTAAATTGGTGTGCATTTTATACTTAACGTCTTTTAGTGATTACTTTACATAGTCACAATATTGTATTAACTGTATTAACAATTATTGAGAACACAATTTATTAAGGTTTTTAATCATAATCAAAATACCTATTTTGATTCATAAACTATGAGTGAATGGAAAAAAAATGTTCAAGTATTTTGATAATTTATAAATAAATGCTTGAAAACTAAAGTAAACGTCAGGGGATGGGGTAAAATTACATTATAAGCGCATAGCATATCTCGATAGTTATACAGTTATGCTTCTGTTGACAGTAATATTGAATAAAATCTCGACATAAAAAAATACTTTTTAAATAAAAGAAAAAATAAAAGATTTCTTCTAATAATTCTTTTTGCAAAACTCGCACCAAAATTATTTAAAGTTTGCTTAGTAAATCTTTAACCAGATACAAATATGAGAAAAACGGAAATAATTCGATATAAGCCTGGAATATTTTTAATCAAGTTTGTAAGCCAATTACAAGAGACTATATTTAAGAATCCATATCATTTTAGCTACATCACCAGCCCTTTTACGTCCCCACTGAAGGGGCTCAGGCCTTCCTTATGGATGGTTAAGGAGGATGGGCCATGACCCTCCACGCTGGCCCAATGCGGATTGGAGGGTATTAACGACTGCAAATGCGGCCGGGACCAACGGCTTAACGTGCCTTCCGAAGCGCGGAGTAGCTCGAGATAATAATTTTTTGGTCACCCATCCCGTGACCGACCCTTGCGAAAGTTGCTTAACGACAACGATCGCGGGACGCGGCGCTTATCCACTACGCCACCGAGCTACTTACGATTTTAGCTACGGAAGGTATAAAAAAACATCAAGTCAAAAAACCTTCATTTCCTTCATGAAAAAAAAACACGACTTTTTTCACAAATTTTGGTTTTATTTATCATAGGTACCGACATTGAAAATTTGTGAAATCCAACTAAAAAATTTATAGGAAATAGATTTATTAAACTTATTATTTACTTTTTTTTTTGTAGTAATATGATAAAACTTTTATTTAAAGTATTTCTGAGTGGATTTTAATGATATTTAGTAGAATATGTGTTTAACTCAAAAGTCTGCTGCATATATTGCTTGTTATATACCAATATTCCACGGGAATGTTGGTATGCAATATTCCCATGGAAATTTTCATTGGATTCAAAATAAAATAAGTATACTTAACGCAATATAGTAATATCGATTGAAGTTTTATTTCATTGTTAATATTATTGATTTCTGTGCAAATATTTTTTAAATATTTAAGTCCGTGTTTTTATAAAACTATGAGTTTCCAAATATAATAATAGGAAAATTTATGTATTTCATGGAAGTAACATTAGTAACAGCGTGAAAATACGTAGAAGTCACTTTATATGTATTTTACTTATCATGCCATTGAGAAATTAAAGGAATTTTCTTTTTCTAATAATCCGAAAGAAAATGACGATGGATTAATTCATATATTAAAAAGGAAATATATGATGCCCTCATAATAGTAAAAAAAACAGCTGTTATATTTTAATGTTTGATCTCCATACTGAAAGTTGGTATTTGTATCAGGCTACTTCGCAAATATAATAAATACTACATAAAAATATTAAATTTAAAAGCATAAACATTGTCAAAGACATACAATGTATATAAAAATCACGATTCCTTTGAGAGAGATACTTAAATAACAATATGAAAGTTGATGCTGTTGCTAAGTGTTCATAACAACAGAGTAGAAACCCCTGACGCTCTGTCATATTGAAGTTAAAATATAAGTTTATAATCTACACTTACAGTCTGGTTCTGCCGAGTGGAGTTCAATCCACTGTAATAGGATTACAGTCCGTAAAGCTCGATTTACACTGGTCAAGTATTTTGGATGTAGGACTCGTTGAAGTAGGGCTTAACTTCGACGGCTCGGGTATTAGCGTATACAACCGAATAACAAGTTCCGGAATCTCAGTCAATAACGACTGATAAAATAACATGTTTAAACGTGATAGATTTATTACTACACTACAATCTAAAGATATTATGCAGTTGACAGAATATATAGTTGCTGCTGTTTTAAAGGAAATAAAACTCTAAATCCGATTTACGTTATTTATTATTCATAAATGTTTTCAAACATAAAATGAACATATAAATAGAACTATTTAGTGAAATTATCTGAATAACTAGTCATTCAGAACGCACTGAAGGCGATGGTGTAGATTATTTCAATTTGTCTTAAAGAAAAAATACTTAAATATCTACTATTCTCAAGTATCAAAGATGGGATTTAAATCCATAAACTTACGCAATCTGAGCAATTGCTCTAACCAATTTTTTTAAGCATTTTTCTTTAAATATCAATATAGAATTATCACGCATTATGAAGGCAAATTTGTTCATCAAATACAATAAATTTAATAATTTCATTTTCTATATATATAAAAATGAATCGCAAAATGTGTTGGTAAGCGCATAACTCAACAACGCCTCGACCAATTTGGCCAAATCTTTTTTTAAAATGTTCGTTGAAGTTCAAGGATGGTTTTTACGGGAAAAATTAGAATTATTGCTGGAAAAACCCTAAAAATAGCCCTTTTCTTTTTCCCATACAAATGATTTGTAACTAAAACGTAGGCAATTTCAGCTTTATTGCTATGGTATAAAGTTCATATTAAATTACAAGCACTCACTGTTGTCTAAGCAATGTAGGTGTGTTCCTAACGTCAAAGATCATATCTATCACAAAACAATGTGCGTGTGTGCGTTGGAGCACAGAATACATAGTTGGAGGAGTTTAATGTCGCGTTCCGAAACTCGCGTTTCTTTTGTATTAGTTTCGGCACGCGAGATAAAATGCATCAGTTTCCACGTCATTACATGTATTGCCGGAACATTGATGAAAATACGCTCTGTAGTAGCAAAGCTGTTGGGTCCTAGATAGCTCATTGGTTAGAGCAGTCCCTGGATCGCGAATGGGTTCGAGTCCCATTCCGGGGTACAGGTAGATGGATTCTTCCAGCATTTTTCCTTGAGAATGTTTATATATTTTTTTAATTCGAATAGTTTACTTTTATAATGCTGTTGTGTGTAATGTGTTTTTATGATCATAAAAATCTCTTTTTTCTATATTTAATACTATTACTATTAATAAATTGCAATAATAATTATGATTCACATGATTAACAATAAAGCGATTACTTACTTTTAAATCCTTATATATGTTTTATTTAATTATTTTTTATTCACAACGCCCTATCACCAGGGTGACGGTTCTGTTCAGGAGAATTTTTTTAAATACGTAGGCAAAAAAACTGCCACATTACAAATCTTTTTGACAGGACGAAGTCTGTCGGGTCAGCTAGTCTTTAATAAAAAAAAAACAAAAAGTTACACCCAAGCAATTACAATATACTTTAAAAATTACATATTATAATATGGCTTCATCTAACTACAAACCTACCAAGTATTTTGAATATGTTTAAATAAAAGCTTGAAAACTAAAGTAAACGTCTAAGAATTGAGTAAAATTACATTATAGGCGCAGAGCATATCTCGATAGTATGCTTCTATTATACAGTTATGCTTCTATTGACAAGTAATATTGAATAAAATCTCGACATAAAAAAATACAAATTGATCAATTTTAATTCTGATAAGCACCCAAATGATTTCTTTAAATAATTCTTTTTGCAAAACTTTCGCACCAATATTATTTGAATAAATACATAGATATAGGTGCCTATTACTTTTGTACAATCCAAATCAAACATATTATTTTTAAATTTGTTCTAATTTATTCCCCAGTTATGAAACATATTCTTCTCTTACTTTACACATCCCACTAACAATGATACGGTTGGAAAAGTTGCAAAATGTAAACTGGCGAATGTTACGATGAATGAGCCAGGAAGTGAATGACGTCATTACCCTTTTGCATATCGTTTGTAGCAAATATAACACGTCTCATATTTATTTGAGGAGCTAGATCACGCAATAGTTAACGCGTTCAGTCTACGATGTAGAAGTTAAGTTACAATAAGAAGTTGCTTAATTTCCATATCAGTCATAGGATGGGGATCTAAAACTTACCATCTCGAGCTCCTCTGTACATCGGAAGGCACGTTAAGCGTCCCGGCAGCATCTGCAATTACCACGTTAATACCCACCAATCCACAATGGGTCGTCGTGGTGGGTCATGTCCATTCTCCCGATTCGATTCGACGATGAATATTTTTTACTTGTTAGTTTCCTATAGGTACATGAATTAAATATACCTACAATAATTTTGAACTGATATGACTCTTCTTATAGGTAGTAAGATCTTTATTATAGTGAATGACAAGAAAATGTTTTTTTTTTATTTTATCATTATGTAAAAATCTTAGCAAACTCTTTTCTAACCTATAGAATAATGATATTATATAGATTAGAAATGAGTTTTCTATATAATGATGATATAATCTTGCCAATCACAGTAAGCTATGAAGCTTACTTAGTATTATTTGTTCCAGATGTCCTAATATGGGTTGGTCATGCGTGGTGGCACGCGCCGTGGCCTTCATTCTCATGATTACCAGAGTGTCAGCGCTGACATCCGACATGTAAGTGTATTTTAAAGAACACTCTAAAAAATGGAGGCCAACAAAGAGCGATTTTCTCTTGGTTGACATAATATTGAATAAAACAACTACTTATTTACATAAATCAACCAAAGCTGAAACATTGAACCAACTAGTTAAAGTATGGTTAAATTAAAAATTAGGTAACCCTGGTTAATTCTATCAAATATATTTATCGTATCTATCATTACTGGATTTTTTTGTGTGAATCGATTATTTTTAATAGTTAAATTTAACAACTAAGTAGTTGAAGCAATTTATACAAATTTATCAAAATAAATAGGTAAAGTAATAGATTAGACGATTTTTATTGTTGCAGTAATAAGATCTCGTATTTGGTTTAACCAAGAACGTTAGAAGAACCAAAAAAACCTTTTGTTTTTCAAACAACAAAGACTATTTAGTCAATTCAAAAACATGAATGATTAATGGTAACTACTTGACATTATTGGACTAACTAAAATTAAGCTGTTCATGCTACTAACAATGTATTTGCTAAAATAATTATCAAATTCTGATTGATTTAAATACTGTCTTATATGAATCAACTAAGAAAAGCGAGTGCCAACAAAGAGTGACTTTGTTAAATCCACACAAACTTATCAAATTCACTTTTCTATTGCGAGAATATTGTTTGAATATTGTTATGAAAAAGATTAATTCAACCAACATGTTGGTCGATATTAATATGAAACACGGCCATCATCTTCATAGGTGCCCGAATAGTTTTAAGTCTGCAAACTAGATGGCGTTGTTCATTTAATGCATCGCGGTATCAGTTTATATCGTTAGATTGTATAAGTATTATGCCGTTTAAAGTAAACTTAATATGGGATTTGAAACCCACCATTCCAGTTATTTACTTTAGCTCTTTGGTTAGGCTCTGAGCTGTGGTCAGAGTTTAAAATTTGACTTGCTTTGGACCAAAAGTTCAGAATGTCTTGGTTGAATTAACATTGGTAAATCGATTAATATAATCATATCTCATGCTTAAATTGACCAATCTTTTGGCAGAATTAACTTCGGTAAATTGTTTGAAACAACCAAGTTTCATATTAATATCGACCAACATGTTGTTTGAATTAACTTCGGTAAATTGGTTAGTACAACGATGTTTCATGCTTATATTGACTAACCTATCGGTTGAAAGAACTACGGTAAATTGGCAAGTACATATTTCATAGTTAAATTGACCAACTCTTTGGTCAAATTAACTTTCGTAAATTGATTAGTTTAGCCACGTTTCATGTTAATTTTTACCAACCTCTTGGTTGAATCCACTGTGGTAAATTGTTCATACAGTCACATATCATAGACATATCGACTACGATCTTATTTAAATTGAAGACTAGGAGGTAGTTGCTATAGTTATTTATTATGATCAAATTGAATGAAATCTTAACTATCTTAACAAAGTAACTATAGTAAAAATAATAAAAACCATCTTATTTAATGTATCTAACATCTTGTCAGGCTCAAATGGAAACAAGATGCTTGATCACATATATCACAATATTGTTTGATTTAACAATTTTTTTTTTAGAGTGAATTCATCTCTAACAGCTATCGTCGGACGTAAAATGAGCAGGAATTAGTTTACTAGTAGTGGTCTACTAAATGCTCTTTGCTCGTGTATAGTATATCGAGATCCATATTTTTTTACTATGGAGAGAAAAGGTTGACTATCCGTTTTTTATATATCCATGTTTTTAACATTCGTTAACAATTACGATTTTTATAAACAAATGTATCTTTATTAAAATTAAGTCGTAGTTATAACAATACTTATTATTATTTTATTTATGAAATTAATATTGCAATGTTATCAAAAAAATGTATCCCATACAGATCTCTAGAACAGACTTAATGTTTTCGTGCGTTTTTAATGATCCTTTTAGAACGTTTTCTTGTTTAGATGTAATCAATCAACCTATTGAAGACTGCAATGATAGGCGCTTAGTCGATTTAATTCAAACAGTGGCAATTTATTACATGAAACATATCAGAGCTTAGAAATAGGAATTGTTGGTGTATTCATTAAAACAAACAACTAAATATGCGAAATCACACTAGAAATATGGTGGATTAAAAGTAACAGTGAAAATGGGTGTAACAGGCGACGAACCGGAGGTAATACGCCCGCCGTGCTCAAGCGGTCAGCCGTGAAGTTCCCCCGCTCTGTTTATAGCCCAGAATAAAGCTCGCCTCTGAAGCAAACTACCTATTTGTTTACATAATAAGAAATTCATATTTCAAATTATCTAAATATATATAACTCAAAGGTGACTGACTGACATAGTGATCTATCAACGCACAGCCCAAACCACTGAACGGATCGGGCTGAAATTTGGCATGCAGGTAGATGTTATGAGGTAGGTATCCGCTAAGAAAGGATTTTGATCAATTCTACCTCCAAGAGGATAAAATAGGGGATGAAACTTTGTATGAAACTTTGCCAATTTTAAACCGATCGGACTGAGACTTTGCATGCATAAAGTTACAATGTCGTTAACAACTTCTAAGAAAGGATTTTGATCAATTCTATCCCCAAGGGGATAAAATAGAACTGAGACTTTGCATGCATAAAGCTACTATGACGTAGGCATGCCCTTACAAATGATTTGATAAATTCCACCCCTGAGGGCATAAAATAGGATGAAATTTTATTTTAGTTATTTTATACGATATAATGAATAAATATTCGTTAGAAATGCTGCTCAAAGTAACTTTACCACGCGGACGAAGTCGCGGGCAAAAGCTAGTATTATAAACGATTACAAAGTGTCATTCAAATTATATTCCATAAGTAATTTAAAATAAAGATCTATTTCATTAGCTCGATGGCTTATCTCAACATGACAGTGACCTACAAAGCAACATTTGTTAAATTTCTCTTTAATTATATGTAATGTGTTATTCTGTAATAAATCCAGCTTTGAACTTGATGTCGAGCGCAGCGCTGTTATAGTAAAGAGATGCAACCTTATAAGACCTACTGCAAACGGTAAAAAAAGTTTTAGTTCCTTTATGTTGTGGCAGCGCCATGCGCGATGTCTACTAGTCAAAAAAGATTTGAGACGAACTTTATATTCAAAGCTATTGCTATTAGACAAGGGATCTTTGCGTCAGTACAAACTTGAATCTGTTTGGATTGCTCTCCGTAAGCATCGGTTGCGATGATTGAATGAAATAAATCTTCGAGGCGAATTCTAGTATGATATATTTTTTTCTCACCTTCTTCTTCAACTTATTTCTTTAGTGTCTTTTTTTTTTATTTTTAAATTGTTTCTGATTTTTTTTTTTGTAATTCGTATGAAATTTCCGTAAGCCGTGTACCTCGTCTTAACAATACATATAAGCATATTGAAAGTGTTACAGATTGTGGTAATAAGTGCTAATCTAAAATCAATACAAAGTCTGTCGTTCTCCACTCGCACTCGGTCAATTTGCTATGATATACGACATTGATGAATTGTGTTTTATTTCTACTGTTTTAAAACTGATACCTTTCGCCTTCTCCTTTGATAATATATTTGAAATTATTATTTACTTATGAAGAATTTAAATATTTCGACCGGAGTTAAAACAAGCCGTAGAATCTAGAAAGTAAACATCTAAAGGTTTTATAAATCTAATGTCATATAATTAGATTTTACTCTGATATACATTTTAAAATGAAAGGAATTCTCAGAGTTATTTAATAATGAACTTTTTAACTTAATCAAAAACTGTAGAAACTACTGTGTAACGTTTATTGTTTTCAGCTTCGCAGCGGGGAAGTCGGACAAAGAGATATTAGATAACCTACTGAAAAATTCCCGCTATGACAAAAGACTGCTGCCACCAGTAGATGGTAAATATGATACCACCATTATATTTTGTGTTTCTCGTATCTCTAGAATATTAAACTCAAAACAGCTTCAAATTTATGGAAGATTTTATTATAATCAATCTATTGCTATCAAAGTTAAACACAATAACCATGTTATAAAAGACAACAGAAGGAATATTAGATACCTACGTAACTACTTAAAATTTTCTACAACAGTTACAAATTTTAAAATGATATTGCAGATCCAGAATTCTGTTGTGGCTTAACATCGCCTAACGACTCTCTGGCACAAAATAGGGTTGGACTGTCGTCTCTACGGCCCCGATCGCACAACCGCGGTGCGTTGTGTTCTATGTTTATGAAAAGAGAAATTCTTATATGACCACGTAGCATATAATTATGCAAAATTTTTCGATTCTGTGTTGTTGTAACCAATCCTCTGCACGCAACTACGACTATTTCCATTCAACTCTCACGCAATGTAGATACACTTCGCTTATTTATTTTTTATTTAACTGATATTTATAGTTTATTTTTTATTTAAGCACCTCTTGTTGATGTTATAGCGGTAGATCACGAAACACGTTTTTTCAAAATTTTAAGAATCAGTCGCTAACAAGGAAAAAGTAGTTATCTTTGACCATAAAATTCATATTAACAACAAATAATTTACATATTTGAAACAGTTCACTCAATTTTTTGTTATATCATGCTTTACTAGATAAACGATTTTCTCTTTTCACAAACATTATACACATATTTGGACCTTTGACTTTCATAAACAGTACACATTCCATTATTTTCCTTATTGCAACGTATTGCGGTTGGTCGATAATTACTTTTGTTGTTATGCCTTATTTGTAGTCAATATTAAATCAATCATTTATCAAGCAACTCATACAGTGATTGATATAATTACTATCTTCAAAATTTAATTAAATATGGTTACTTCAAGTTTAATTACAATAATTAATACTTCTAAATCGGCACTGTCTAGTTTCTCAGCATGTTATGTGTTTGTGTGGTTTATGCTATTAGCTTTAAGATTTATTGAAACAAAATATTTATTTTCAGGTGTACTCACCGTTAATGTTAGTGTGCTACTTCTAAGTTTAGCATCTCCTGACGAATCTAGTCTTGTAAGTATTTTCCTTAAAGTATCACTACAGTTTTGTGAATAATGACAGTTTATACAGTGTTTGTGAAGAATTGTATAGTACATATAACGTTTTGTCCACACCCCAGAATATTATCATATTCTCAAAAGACATTAGCTTTTATTGTTGATAATAAAATTTCTGGTATCAAGTTATAATAACAGCTTATATTCCTTTTGCAATACTTGCATGTTTTACGTGACATTGGCTCTACAAAATATTGTTTTCTTACTATTGATTTGCCATGTGACACATAACTTTTTTTATTCACAGAAATACGAAGTAGAATTCCTTCTGCAACAGCAGTGGTACGATCCTCGGCTTCGGTACTCAAATCAGTCACACTACGACTTCTTGAACGCCATCCATCACCACGAGGATATCTGGTTGCCTGATACTTACTTCATCATGCACGGTGATTTTAAGGTAAACATTAAATTTAACATTGCCATGTACATTTTACTGAGGTGTTCTTAATATTTTTCATCTCTTTTATAAAAAAACCTTTTCTTCATCATCTATTTTGGTCTAAATATAGCAAACCAAGTGGCTGATGGTTAAGAGATATTATTTTAAGCATAATTATTCAGGACTTCTTCCAGGATCCGATAATACCAATGCATTTTGCATTACGCATCTATCGTAACGGGACAATCAACTATCTGATGCGTCGACATCTCATCCTCTCCTGCCAGGGAAGACTTAACATCTTTCCTTTTGATGACCCATTGTGTTCATTTGCCTTAGAAAGTAGTAAGTAACTTGTTTTTTTAAATCTTGACTTTGAAGCTTTTGTGTTTTAAACAAACTTTGAAACGAGTGGACGGAATAGACTGTTTTTATTATTCATTATATTTTATGATTCTAGTATCTTATGAGCAGTCAGCAATCACATATGTATGGAAAAACGATGAAGACACCCTTCGAAAGTCACCATCACTGACGACACTGAACGCCTACCTCATTCAGAACCAGACTATTCCCTGTCCCATCAAAGCTAGTTGGAGAGGTAATCGCCAATATAACTTTTATATCATTCTACAAACACTACATCGCTTTTGTGAAAAGAAATACAATTTTTTTATTTTATTGTACCAACCAAAACCGTCGAAAACCGTAGACTCGCCTCCTTAAAATCCTTCTCTTTTGTTACAAGCACATCCTATAATTTGCACAAGAAAGGATCAGAGACGTTTTAGTAATCGTATCGAAATTCTGATTAACTCTTTTCAGCTTGGTCTTGATTTTGTATACAAGGTTACTTTTAGGTATTACTTTTTTGTATCACAGTCAATTAATTAGACGCTTCTAGTGTTTGTTGGCATATACTAATTTTGGAATACGTATAATATATAGAATATAGCTAGAAACGCATGATCATCGTAATCGTTATTAGTTTATTGTAGAAATTGTGACACTCGCTGTTTGTGACACAAATTGATAGTATCAACAGATTTGCAATTTCGTTAAATCGTCAAATGTAGCTTTGAAATATAAAATGTAAGACTTTGTTAACGTCTTTGCAAGCAGCTGACGGTATTTCACTTTACGAAGATGATGAGGAGCTGACATGTAATCTTTGCCAGAGACGATTTGAGGAGCAAGGTACTTGAATCGCACCGGACGATACACCAATGTGTCCGGTGATGTCATATTTGCCGTTTAGTATGGCTTATGTGTGAGTAAATGCGTAATTGTGTTTGAACAAAGCGAGCGATGTACAAAGATAAATCAGAAAGCTATTTTTAAACAATATTACACATACAAAATTATACTCACGGTTTTTATTATTTTAATTCATCCATCTTCACTTGCATGTGACATCCTTACCCTGCGTAAAGCACGTATTAAGGTACCACTAGTTATGCTGTCTAATCATTTGGAAGTGTCCGTTGATGCTAGAATTTACCTTTAAACGCATATAAACACAACACGCATTACTCATGCATTTCAATAACGTAGATTTTGAATTGTAAAGAAGACTTAATAAACAGTAATGAAACTACAAGGCCTCTGAATAGAGTTATTTGGAATTTTCAACACGTTTTTCCGTGGAGTTTTACGAGGAGAATTCCTTAATTTTATTTTTACAGCCCAGCAATCCTACCTGCAACAGCATGAATGGTGTTTAATATATGTATTTAAAAATGTTCACTCCACAGGTAACTACAGCTGTTTAAAAGTCGACCTAATATTTACTAGAGACCGAGCGTTCTACTTTACAACTGTATTTATTCCCGGAATTATTCTGGTGACATCTTCGTTCATCACGTTCTGGCTGGAATGGAACGCTGTGCCAGCCCGTTCCATGATAGGTAAAAATCATTGGCTGGCAATTGAGAATGTTCTCGGTCTTGCATTTTATTCTTTATCCTCTTTTTATCTGATAGATAACGCTGGGGCTGTTGATATGACACGCTATAAATTTGTTTTCGCAGGTACAGCTTATTCGTTGGCGATGTAAATACAAACTTTTATAAAAAAATGATTAGCCGACAATCACTGTCACAAACGCCTATTTTTATTTTTAGATTTTGCTTAACTTTATTCTAGGTAATTACAGCTGCCTCAGGGTGGATCTTATCTTCACACGGGATAGATCATTTTACTTCACCACAGTTTTCATTCCTGGCATCATTTTGGTGACATCATCGTTTATCACATTTTGGCTGGAATGGAATGCCGTGCCTGCTAGAGTAATGATAGGTTGGTGTAATTGTTTCATTTGCTACTTTTGTTCAATTTATATTTATTTGAAAGAAAAAATTTCACATCTGGAAGATGACACAGATGTCTTATCAGCTGATATTTATATTACTCCGCCGGATAATTATGACAAAAGCGATGAAGATAGTGGTGATGAGGAATTTACCCATATAAATAATTTGTCAAGGCAACAACTGTTAGCAGAAGCCGAACTAAGGGCCACCGTAGCTTCAGAAACTGGTATTGATGTTGAAGACAATTTATTGGATGATCCCTTACCCAGCACCTTGTCAGTAAAACTACCGCCAACGAAAAAAAAGCGCGCTGCTGCATTAAGACGTTGGAGGGCTATCGATATTCCAGATAAACAGGAAAAAGAGACTGAGATGCCTAGTTTCCTTGAAAATATTGAAACTCCAGTACAGTTTTTCGAATTATTTTATGATGAAGAGGTATTTGAACTATTGCGTTCTGAAACTGAAAAAAATGGAATTCAGAAAGGCAAGCATGGCTTTAGGGTGACAATTACTGAAATCAAACATTTCATCGGAATACTGTTATTGTCGGGGTATAACAGCGTGGCAAGGTATCGCATGTATTGGGAACAACAAGTAGATTGCAATTTTCAAGTCGTGTCATCTCTCATGTCTAGAAATAGATTTGAAGATTTGCTTCGTTACTTCCATGTCGCTGACAATAATAATTTACCACCAAACGATAAGTTCGGAAAAGTTCGTCCACGGTACCTGACTCTATAAGGCTAGATGGAAAAGCTCATCATATTATCAAGCAGGATAAACCAACCCGGTGTGGTTTATGCCACAAAAATACATTTATGAAATGCTCAAAGTGCAATGTCGCTTTGCATCAAAAATGTACTGTTGCTTTTCATACAAAATAGCTTTTTTTGTCCATTATATTGTTTAAATAGTCATAAGAGTCTTTTCTATTATAACATAAATAAAATACAGCTAAAAACTCCTTTTTATTTAAATAAATTTATAATCACCTCTAGAATTAATTAGTTTTTTCAAGCATCTATACACAATGTTACTCGATCACCTATTATGCTATATTGCACTTCAGTAGCCAGACTGTATAGAGAGCATGATTAGTAAAAATATTTTTTAGTGCATATCAGAAACATTATTTTTTTATGTCGCCATTTTAAAACTCGTTTAAATTTGTGAACAGGTGTTACGACAATGTTGAATTTTTTCACAACTTCGAACGGGTTCCGTTCTACTTTGCCGGTGGTGTCGAATCTTACGGCTATGAACGTATGGGATGGGGTGTGTATGTGCTTCATATACGCATCGCTGTTGGAGTTCGTCTGCGTAAACTACGTGGGAAGAAAGAGGCCCCTACACAATGTCGTATACAGGCCCGGGGAAAATCCAGTTACACAGGTACAAATGACATTACTTTGAGTGCGATAGTATTTCGTTTTTAATTTTCAATGTTAAAATACTTTTTGTCGATGTTGTTTTCTTTATAGCCGCATAGTAACGGCATTAAATTGGCACCTTAACATTTATCTATAAGATAAATAAGAGAAAAATACTGCGACGCTTAAAACTAATTATAGTAAACAACTATAAATCATATTATCAATAATTCATATAACGTAATGTTTAAAAATTAAACTATCGATATACTACATAACTAGGTATTTATATATACTACATAGATAAAATAACTAACGAATACAAAAATATATGTATTTTCCCTTAAGTAGCAGTTTCAAATTACTCATCTCTAAATGTATTTGTTAGTTAGTTCTCAACAATTAGTTATTCGTGTTAATGAGTGCATAAATACAGATATATCGCTGATCTAAAAGAATAAATGTAAATACGTAATTATAGTTAGGAACAACTTTGCACTATACACTATTAATAATAAACATACATATACAAAGTAAATGGGTATTTAGATCTAATAATCTATTCTATCAACAATTTATCAAACATAATTAAAATAGTACATCATATAACATACACTCGTATAATAATGTTGATATAATCCACTGATTGATAAATTAATACAAAGCATGCTATATTCTTATTTGTGTTTGAGTGTTAAATATATATTGCAAGAGACTCTATATGAAAGGATATCTTTGTCTATTATTTTAACTCTTTGCAATGTTTTCTTTTGTGTATAGTTATTAAAAATATACGACAATAATGTTTTTCCATTAATTCTGATGTAATTGGCATGCTTCACACATTTTTCTCCCTTTTGCATGTTTTTATATGTACATAAACATAATCAATGTTGGGTAGGTCAGGATCCATCACATAAGTTTCGTAATTGAGCAATTTTAATATTCATGCAATATAAACAAAAGACTATCTTGTGTGGCCGTGTTGCTTTCAATTATTATCTGCATTTAATTCAGTTGGCTTCCCCATAATAATATAAGAATTAAGACTTCATTCAATTACGGGAAAACATTGCAAAGATTACGTCTTAAACTTATGCTTTCAATAATTCATATTTGAATTGGAAGATTTGTTTACAAGTTTTAATGATATATTTGTGTGCATTTGTAATAATCTTTTCGTGGCCACAACAATTTAGTCTAATATCACGTTGGCACAAGTAAGACCATCCGTCACGAGTGAACAAATTGTGTGTGTGATGTGTTCACAGCGACTGCCCGCTGTCCTGAGCAGAATTGGCATTATACTGGCCAGCCCCTTGGTAAGAACCTTCGCCACGATCATTGGCACTTCCCGATCAATTATTCTCTGTTATATTTCTTTTGCATTTAGAATTATTTCCTTGTGTAAAACCTCTTTAAAACTAATTTTAAAAAATTACCATAAATAAAGAGTAAAACAAATATAACAGATATTTTATAAGTCACCATTGCTCCAGTGGCACGGTTTAACGGCAGCATGCGTATATTGTTTGAATTTATAGTAGGTTCATCTTTTTTTAAGTACCCTCAAGGTAAGTGCTTTACATTAATTCTAAATATATACCTCCAGCTGTTTTATTTTTTATAATAAATAAGAGCTTATACTGCATGTAAGATGAATTCTAAAGAAGATACCCCTAATGCACTGAATAATTCCTAAATTATTACGATAAATAAGCAAAAAATTTAATACACACAAAATAAATTTACTTGCTACAATAATACATCTTTACACTTATTTTTATAAAATGCCTTTTAGGCCTTTCAAAATAGTTTTCTTACTTCACGCATGGCTACGTAGATAAATTTCTATGGGATATTATGCGATATCACATTTTTTTAAATTTATGCTTCATAATATGTTTTTAAGTTGAAATCAAATTAAATTGTAATAAAAACCAATTCAATCGACATCAGATTATAAATAGAAAACAATAAAACTGTTTAGGGTTAAGTAATATATGGTAACTTATTAAATATATAAATACTGTATTACACATTAACAAACAAACTCATTATGTAAATGCTTTTTTGGGACTAACTGATAGGCCTAAGACATCAAGAAAAACAGCATTGTCACTATAAGCATAAGACCAGGGCTTGGAAACCGGTTAATTTTTTGAACTGGTTCGATGTAAGTACATGCGAAACTTTTTCATAAAAGGTTCAGCTCCTTTGAACAGGTTTTTAAACCGGTTCACTAGAAATACGATTTTCTTCATTAACTGGTTAAATATCACTCCAAACAATGATCTCACAAACTTCAGCGCGGTTTTTAAGTGCCTTTACTCCTATTTATAACATCCGTACATAGGTATGATAAATGTCGTCGCTTAAAAATGATATAATTCGCATTAAAAGCGTAAGAACATTGCTTTTTACGAACCAAGCAAATTAACCTGTTTTTATTCCATCCGAATTTCATTCCGCATTTAGTTCCGATCCGGAACGGAACATTATAAGAGAACAGGTTTTACTTAAATAAAAACGGTTTATTCTGAACCGGTTTCAAGCCTTGCATAAGACTCTATATTGGATTTTGAAGCTGTGTTTTCATTCTAAATAACGGTGATTAAAACTATAATTTTGCTTTGTTCTTAAAGCTTAGTACTCGTATGCAAGTAACAAGTCAATACACAGTGAAGCAGTCTAGAATTTTGCCAAGCTATCACTGAAAATATTTGCCTTGCCAAATAACTATTTATTTGAACCTAATTTTGCAATTCATGCTTTAGTTAAACGAATAATATAATTTACTTAGGAGGCGATGGCATTCCTCAATTGGGCAATATCAGATAACCCCCAACCGGATACTAGTGGTGCCGTAAGTGATGTCACTGAACAAACATCATAGAATCTGCCCACATCTTCATTGACCTGATTATCACGAAAACTAACGCATCATATTTTTTAACGCTGCTTCGGATTGCAACAGCCTGTAAGTACGCTCCTGACATAGCACGACTCAATTTGAATGTACAACCCTTTAAAAACTACTTAGTGTTATTTATTAATAGTATATGCATACCGATCTAGTTTCATATTTAAATGTATATATTCATCTAACAACAATGAATGAAATTCCTTACGTTGATCGGCTCATAAAAGTTTGCGTTCGTTTCTTCATGTATTATTAGCATCCACCCTCATCGAGTTGATTAAGAAAATATTTTTGTACGTATAGATTATGTTTTATGCTACAGGGTGATAAAAAACGAGAATCAACTGGTGCTGCAGATTTGGTCACTTGTGCGACATGCACAGGTCCTCCCGGTTCCTGTACTCACACTACCAACAACGGAGGAGTATCCGAGGTAAGGGTTTCAGTTCCACCATCTCTTTATTACCCACGTTTAGCATTATCCACTGTTTACAAATATCAATATAATTACGATAGAATACTTCCATTATTCTTGCTAAAAATCCCTCTTGGCTAATTCATAAAACAATTAGTAGTACATTTCATTAGTATTCATTTGTAGTACACACAATAGTAGCTGATCACAAAATGCCACAGAACTTCTGATTATAGAAACCACAATGTAAAGAAAGTGTATTCAATGACATACGGAGCATCAAAAAGATAACATTGGTTAATATAGAAAAACTAGAGCTATGATCAAGAAACTCCAATGGAATTAATGTTTAATATTTGGAAAAAATATCAGTACTGACATTATTATTAGAGCCATACTAAATATCAATATATGATCAGCGAAAGAAATTAATATTAAACTTTTAAGCTTTGTTTTCATTGTCATTACTTTTGAATCACCTATTGTAGAGTAGTATTAGCGATATTATCATTCTGCATATCCCACGGCCAGCTCCCCGTATCATCATTCATGTTACAAATTAATCTCTTTCAGCCATGTTTCGTCCAGGTTCGCAAAAAAGAACCGCCGCATCCGATCCGAGTGGCGAAGACCATCGACGTCATCGCCCGAATCACATTCCCCACTGCCTACGCTGTTTTTCTAATCTTCTTCTTCATCCACTACAAAGCGTTCTCTTAATGGTGCCTCAACTACTGCCGCTTCCTACGGTTGCTTGTGTGAACAGACTATTATTTTTACACGATTCCTATTTAATGTGTCACGCTAGAATTCGATGTCGGAGAATATTATACCGATTCTCGATTCGTACAGATTGTGATTAAACCTATAGGGTGATATATGAAAAGACTTATTTTGAAAACGGAACGAATGCAGCTATTGCCGCTTTTTACATTGACCCTGTTTGCGATACTGATGAAAAATACTTTTGCGGGTCAATTTAATAAAGTAGTGGAATACTAATTCCTACAGGTTTTGAAATAGTTTTCGATTTAATTCACCCGAATATGTATTTTAATCATTATAATACATATGTAAGGTTATATTTTTTCGTGTACACATAACTTATGATAAGACAAAGAGGGATCAATGACATATTTGTATGAAAATATCTTGTAACGTTGTTAATAGATCTTGGATGATGGCTATCGAAAAGATAAGTATAAAATCGAAATTCTAAATTATACGTGAAATTAAATTGATAAACGAAGAAATCTATTTCAAAACTATAAGTCAGTCCAATTGTACTTTGTCGCTTTAAGTTTGATTATTCATTGGTGGTATTATAAGATAGTAAAAGACATTAAAACTGTTATATTTATCTAGGTACTAGACTAAATCACATAATATAATAGTAATTACGCTACTTTCATTTAATCATATACACCCACATAAGTTGTGATAATATTATAATGTTTGAAAGTTGCTTTAAAAATAGTAGTGAATTATAAATGGGTAATTGTTTTTAATGTAATTATTTATATTGTCTTAATGAATAAGTTTTCAGGTTTATTTATAGAGATTATCTTTAGATGTAGATGCATAAGTAGTTAAAGCTCAATACATAAATATCTTTTAAAAATATAGTTAAATATTCATAATCACTTGTAGTTTTGAACCTACATATTTATTAGGCAATGTGTTTTTTTTTTATTTGACCACGAACATGCCTTTCTACATTCAAGAAGTTATTTTTGCCTGAACGCACTATGTAAATAATGTTAAGATGTAATTTGTATACTTATCGATAGTTACTTTTAATTATTTATACTATGAAATGGAATGTCGATAGTGTAGCAGTAAAGGGCATATTTTTTTTTACTTTTTTGCTGCTAGAATGTCTAATTAAAATGATCTAATTACATTTGTGAGGCACAAAACGCCATTGATACGTTAATAAAGTGTGAGCTTGTTGCAAATTCAACTGTTTTATCCCATGTTTTATACGCAAGACGTGGAAACAAAATTTTAGTGTAGCATTTCTTTTTTCAATGTATATTGCGTTTGTAAGCATTAAGTAAATTAGCATGTCATGATTGGTTTAATTCAGATTGTGTTCTTTTAGATCAACAAAAATGCCGTTATTTTGCTCGAAAGCCGAGAACGCACTGAGATTAGACGTACGCGTTTAAACTGAATTTGAATTACAGTTATAAACACGCTGTTTTTTATGTAATATGGTATAGTGGTATGGCACAGTATAGATATATATATATATTAGTATGTTGGTGCGAATTTTTATTCGATCTCACCTAGTTTAATGTAAAGAAGTTGTCATGACAACTGACTCAACAGGATAATGTATGTATCTAAAAACATTAAAAATGATGTTTAAAAAATTTCTGTATAGGCAAATCGTTAACTCAGTGACAGGAATATAATGAAATGACGCGGCTTTGACAATTTTCTTATTCAATTTTTTCATATAAAACTCTGCTCGCTGATACTACTGAACAAAATTATTCAAAATGCCAACCGCAGTGCAAACGCCTACAATAGTTTTTGAATATTCAGTTAATTATAAATAGCGTAACTGCAATGCGGTCTCAGACTAATAGCGATTTTTTTAAGGCTATCAACTATGGAGTTGGATTTTTTTTTCTAAAATACTTTTAAAATTCGACTTTTTAGATCATATTTTAACATCATCTGGTGATCTAGTGATGTCCATTAAATTGAAAACCTTCAGATTCAGATAGATAATAATATTCTAACTTGTAACTGAACTCTCGTGTACTGTTAATGCGTAAGTTGAATCAAAATGACGTTTGCTCAGTAGCACATTTTTGGGTTTCCATCGAGGTGTAAACATAGCAACTCAGTATATCGGAGACCGTAACCTGCGCGGCAAATCGCCATTTTCGATCAACTTCCGTGCTGCGCATTATACATTATACATTCTTTATAAAACTCTCAAAGTAAATAATGAATTTTGAATCAAATTCAATATTATAATTGTATTGTTTATGTGTGTATAATAAATAATATTCTATATATCTAATATTTTGATATTAAGCATAATATTTAAAAGAACAGTTAAATTTAATTAGGTGCCATCGACATCATGCCTTTCGCTTGTTAAACGTGGACCAATGAGTCAACTGTTTTGGAAAATAGATTTTATATCTTATTATATGAAAACCATAATTTGTAAGTAAAAAATGCATTTTGGCTGTGCTTTGAATTCAAATAATAATAAATATAATAAATCCACATATAAATTAAATATCGTATTATGTATTATCAAATTTGTATGTTTTGTAAAATTGAAAAAAGTTTGTGTGTGTGATATTCAGAATGGAATACACTCAACATGCCCGCTATTTCAATACTTTACGAGTACGATTTATTTGCTTGTTAATGACGTAAGTATAAATATAGCTACATTGCCATAATTAATACAGCCATTATAATAATCAAAATTATAACTTCCTCTTTTATAACCAGAAGCCTATTCCTGATCAGGAGTTAAACGATGCGAACGATTTTATCGTCTTAGCAGTTGTCCGATCGCCGACAACGAAAGTATAAACTATTTTCTCGCTCAAGAAACGCTTGCAAAAGATGCACAAGGAAAAGGTTTGATCGCTGATTGTTTCCACTGCTGGTAAGTACTCTCACATCACTAGTTTGAATTAGCGGAAACAACTATTAATAATAAAAGTTGCACGGCAATTAACTGTATCATGGTGTATCCTTCTCTTACATATAAGTATATGCCTAATTCTATGTCTGAAATAACCAAAAATAATACATTTCCAAAAAAAGTTATGAGTCCATTATGAAAATTAAAATCAAAATGTCATCAAAATGTCGTCAAAATGTATTGAATAAAACTGAAAAGCTTGTTGTGGGTTTTCTTGTTGTAGCGATTAATGTTAATATGAATAAATTTAAATTGAATATTAAACTAAAAGGTACTTATGAAAAATATACTTTTTCAGACTAAAAAGGTTAGTGCGGCTTAATAACGAGAAAACTCATAAACGCTAAAAATTACAAACGTATATTTGTCAAATATTCATATTCTGAATGAATAGAAAAAGGCTAAGCCAATAAACGAATTACCGGTATGATATCAAGCAAAATCAAATCAATAATACTTTGCGTTCTTGTTCTATGTAAATTTACTATGTAATATGCCTATTAACAAATGTAAATTTTATTCATTTGTATGTAACCATTTCCCAATTGAATAGGCATGAGGTGATACTACTTTAAATTCGCATTGTTTTTATAATATTTAAAGTGTAAGAAAATAATTACATATCATTCGCTTTATAAGACAATCTTATATATCTACTTATAATGCTACAACCTGTTTAAGCAAAGCTTTGTATTATGTATATGACAAATATTATATTCTACGCTGCGTTTGTATTTGTTAAAAGTGAGATTTATTGATAGAATTAGTTCGTTGTTCCTACTTATGGGGTAAATTTAGTTGATTTTTTAACACTAAAAAATCTTAAGATTGTTATATTAAAAATGTTTTAAATCGCAATTGATTTCTCAGTCGTCTTAATAACTTTTTGTGAATATTGCGTTGGGTAAATCTGTCTTATATACAATTATAATTCATTAAATATGGACCCATTAAAAATAATCATTTTCTGATGTACTCTAACGAGTTTTGTTATTTATGGATTTACAATCGAGGTTAAAATTTAATCCAATAAACATGGTAAATTTTTTAAATATTTTCAATATTCTAAATTCAAAATGGCGCCCAATTCACGAAGCTTTTTATTCGAATTTTGAATAGACCTTAAATTAAATATTATCATAAAACTTTTTTATACTTAAGTCATGATACTGTCACTCGATAATTGATATTTGTTTGATAATAGGAATTTGATTCAATAAAATAAATAACAATACAAACATTTTTATTATTTCATTAAACACATGAATGTACTATTTATATTCTCAGAAAAAATAAATAAAAATTTTATCGTGAGCAGATCATTGATATTGTCTAGATGTGACTGATTTTGACGAATCCTAAATGAGTATATTTTTGTATAGTTCTCTCTCCCTTTTGTAAATTAAATAACAGATATTTGTAACACTGTAACTTTATCATCATAAGCGACATGCAATAGGTAATTACGAACAAACGCTTTGACCATTACGAGAGAATACTGTAGGCTGACGGAGCCGCTTTATTAATATTATACTAATTAAAAATTAAAATATTTAATATATAAGTAATAATTAAAGTTATAATTGATGTGTATAATAGTGCTGTACCGTTAAACAATAATACGGGTAGTGTTATTCGTTTTTGGAAGCATAATGCCTTTTTTCGCTTCTACTTTAGATAAGTAGTTGTTTGAGACAAAATAACGCTAGGGTTCACGAGCTATTTGCTTTAAGCGACATTTTTGTAGGTAATTATAAATTTTATGAAAATTGTATAATTTGTTCAGATAATATATTTTTCAAGTTGATACACATAAATTTAATTTGATACAAGAGGCCTCCAAGTTTTTTCAGTCAGTAGCACAAACGTCCAGACGACTTTATGATCGAATGAATGGTTGATAATTGAAAATTTGTATGGGAAATGTGGAATTAAACTAATGACAATTTTAACGGAAATTTATGCAATTTTTTCAAGTGCAATAAACTCTAAAATTATAATTGTTGAAGGAATAATAAAATATAATTTGCACGAGAATAATAGAAATTATAGTCGTTCATAAAAATGGCAGTAAGAAAAATATTATAACTACATAGTATAAAACAAAGTCGCTTTCTCAGTCCCTATATCCCCATGTATGTTTAAATCTCTTAAACTACGCAACGGATTTTGATGGTGTATTTTTTTTTTTCATAGATAAGGTGATTTAAAAGGAAGATTTTTATATATAATACAAGACCACACGACCGAAGCTAGTTCTATTATATCTTGAAATTTGTCACGAGTAAAAAAAAAATGTTAATTAATTTCAAGCAATATAGAGGATATGGATTTCAAATGCAAGTCAAAAGATTCAAATGCCCTATATTACAAAATTTACATCAGAAAAATAGCATATGCCATATTCACGAAATAATTTATGTCAAACTGTAACGCCATATTTTTTATTAATTTGTTTGTTCATATAAATATTACAATAGATACTTAAGACAACATAATTGTAAACTTATTACAGAGTTTTTACGGGGGTTTAAACTGAATTTTAACATTAATTTGAGCATTAAAAAGTGCTCAAGGCGCCACAAAAAGAGGTCAAACAAAACAGAAAAATATGGCAATGACTGTCGCTTAACACAAATGGTCCGTGTACACTAGGCCTATGATTTTCGGCCGTTTTGTATTGCTTGAATAATGCTTTTAACATACCCTAAGTAAATAATCACGTCTTATTTAATCATACATAAGCACAATATTTTAAATAGCTATTATTTGATGTTATAAGTTGCTAGTATTATCTTATTGCACTTTAATAGTAAATACTAAGATTACCTAGTTATAATAATATAAAAGTTACGATGCACGAAGACATTAGTGAGATAAAATTAAAATCTTTTAATAAAGATAAAATCAATTACAAAACATTAAATTAAAAATGGATAGTGTTCGTACCTTTATTTAGATTAATTATAATTATTTATTGTAAAATATTAATGCTAGTATTATATTGTTTACTAATTATTATGTATAGTATTGTTCGCAGAACAGATAAATTTGTAAAGATCACTCTTCAATATAAACATTTATTGTAATTAAAATACCTGTCCAGGTTAGCATAAAAACTGTATATGCTTATAAATTTAAATATTATATCATATGGTTCCATGCTTTTTTACCTACTATATGAAGTGTGAAAGTAAACTATCATTACCGGGCAGTCTTTACACTTATCGATGACATTCAAGTGCGGCGATTGGGTTATTCGTATTGAAACATTGTTAAAAGAAATAAACAAGTATCGTAGACTCTATACAAAATCAACAAAATATGAGACTTTGCATTTGTCTGTAATATTCTTTATTTGAAAATATAATTAACTTCCAGAGGGTAACTCAACATTTTCGTAAGTTTATTAAAAGGTATAATCATACAGCATTTGTTTTCAACAAAATGTGGACAGAACAGAATATCACAAAATCTATACAATTAAAGGCAATTTTTATAAGCGATTAAGACATTTCACAAATTCCCAACAACTCATCAAGATGCCGGGTTCGATTCCCGGTCGAGTCAATAAAGAAAATGAACTTTTCTATATTGTCTCGGGTCTGGGTGTTGTGGTACCTTTGTTGTCTCAGATACTCCATAATACGGGGTCTTTAGCTACTCATCTTGGAATCTGAGCAATTATGTGATTATCTTTATTATTTATTAATTATTATTATATCTATGTAACCGAAATAAGTACCTGGTAGTTGACATCTCTTAATAGTCATGATAATCGAAAATGGTAACGATCCATTCGCATTATTACTATCTTCGTTGAATTCTATTTTTATAAAAGTTTATATTTGTTTAAATACAAAATTAAGCCTTTATTAATACACTCGCAAATATGTAAATTTAAATTTTAACCTTTTTTAACAAACACAATAAAATGTACCTGTCCAAATCGCCTTTAGATTTTTTCAAATGACTTTCAAACAGCAACTACGGGTCATCATAGATACGCTACGAGATAGGAAATCGGAATTTCCGCTCTATCAAATATCTTGCAATATGTGCAAAAAAAAAACAATATTTAATACTAAGGCTTATTATAGGCACCTAAACAAAACGTTTACAAAGCAATCAACTAGTTAATAAAATATGTATAATATACTAGATAATAAAGGAAGCATAACGAAATCCGTCATGTACTAATAAATATATTAGTGTGTATAGCTACGTAATTGTAAAATAAATGTAAAAATAAATGTTAATTTCACTATTTAATGAAGCGATTTCGCAATTATATTTGTTTCATCGTAATATTTACTGTCTTATGTTATTATAACAAAATCACATAAATGTTGAATGATTCAAATTATTGTTGCAAACATTTCAGGGTTATGATGTTAAATGCTTAATACAAAGCGAGAATCAGAAAGTTTATAGTAACTAAACAAATGACTATCAAAGATATTAAAGTGTGTGAGTACTTAAATCGGAATAGGGAGCTAAGATTTACTAGTTTTATTATTTACTATTCGCGTGTTACTGTATAAACACTGGAATTAAATGCTATATCGATAAACGCAGTACATACCTATCTAGTTTTTTGTACTTACTTAACTCTGATAATAATTATAAAAAGACACGCATCGCCTTTGTAAATAAAAATGTCAGCGATGGCCGCCCGTTCGTATTTAATTAGTGGCAATGTAAATAATTTTATTGTAAAATTTATGAATTACAATTTTCATCAAATAAAACACAACAATTAAAATTATTTGTCTCTTATTTATATTCGGAACCTACGTACACTGTCTGTGTAATGCATTTGCAACATTTTTACAACACTTAAAGTAACGGTTTTGGTGGGAAGGACTCCGGGTGACCTATTAGGCAGCTCGCTGCCGGGTTGGTTCACGGAAGAGAGACCCACACACCACCTGTTACTTGCCTGCCAGCCAGGTAACATAATCAGCGCCAAACACTTTTTTTCCTTGACGTATAAAAGGACCAATGGCCAAACTTTAATTCATTAATGAAAAATCCCTAAAAAACCCATGACCGCTCAATGGTTAGAGCAGTTCTAACCACTGATCTAATAGAACTGACAAATTTTTCAAGCACTTGTTACTTTTTCGCTACTACAGAGCGTATTTTCATCAACGTTCAGACAATCCACTCAAACATAAAAAATCGCCAGTCCTGTTAGGTCGCAAAGGCTATTTTAGAAAAATACGTGTCTAAGGTGTAGCCAGTTTAAATTTAAATATATTCGTTTCTTAGATATTATTAAAACTTTCAATTGTCTGAAAATAAAAAACGCATGTGATTTATGGGGCATATCTCTTAACATTATTAAAAGTATAGTTCATGTTATAGCCCCTTACATGGCTGATATATTTAATCGTTGTATTAGATGAAGGAATTTTTCCAAAAAGCTAAGCAAAAAAGTGAAGCTAAGCAAAGTTATACCTCTTTTTAAGTCCGGAAATAGGGAAGACTATACTAATTATATAGACCTATATCAATATTACCGACGTTAAGCAAAATCTTTGAAAAAATAATTCTTGAACAGTTATTGTCTTATTTTAATTTAAATAAATTACTGCATACTAAACAATATGGTTTCACAAAAGGTCGCTCTACTGCTGATGCTGGTGTAGCACTTCTTAAACATATATTCAAAGCTTGGGAGGTGGCACAGAATGCTCTTGGAGTATTTTGTGATCTAAGGCATTTGATTGCGTTGAGCATCGAACACTGCTAACGAAGCTAAATTACTATGGTATCAAAGACTCTGCCCTACAACTAATATTGTCGTACCTCAGTTTCAGAACTCAAACTATCGATATAAACGGTGTGAGATCATCTGGTACACGAGCAAAAATGGGGGTTCCCCAGGGATCTATTCTGGGTCCCTTTCTGTTTCTAACATACATAAATGATTTAGTCATTTTTTGTCGAAACTTTATGCGATATAGTATTGTTTGCAGATGATACTTATTTAATATTGATAGATGTAAAACTAATTTTGATGATGTAAACAATGCTCTCTCAAAGATGACCTGATTTACTGTAAATAATCTCCAGTTAAATACTAAAAAAACGACATGTGTTAAGTTTATGTTACCTAATGTAATGATGAAAAGTTCGAATTGGTTGATACAACAATCTTCTTGGGTGTAACGCTGGATCACAAATTGCAATGGCATCCTTACATTTCATTAGTGGCAGGAAAACTAAGCTTCAGCTGCCTTTGGTATAAAAAAAGGCAACTTACAGATGTAGATACCGCTAGGATAGTATACTTTAGTTATTTCTATAGCGTTATGTGTGGGGTATGACTGCAGATATAGAGTCTATATTTATTTTACACAATAGAGCAGTAAGAGCTATTTATCAATTGGGTTCAACAACATCACTTAGAGATAAATTAAAGATATTGGGATATTAACAGTTCATATACAATTTTATACTTTATGTTAGAATCAATATTAACAATTACATTAAACATAGTCATGTACACAATTTTAATACTAAAAACAAAGATAAACTTGTTTTACCGCCATGCAGGCTAAAGAATCTATCATCATTTATGGGTCAAGGTATACACTACTATAACAAAATTCCTATGGAAATTTTAAATTTACCGTTGCCTAAGTTTAAAACCTATATTAAGAATTGTCTATTCAGTAAAGGATATTACACTGTAAATGAATATTTAAGCGACAAAGCTTCTTGGTGTTAAATATAGCTCACTTCCATGTATATCAAATTGTTTATCGGTGAGCTTTTTCGTCAATCGAATCACATGTGTAGTCAAACACATGTGATTAGATTGAATCACATGTGTAATCAAACACATGTGATTAGATTGACGAAAATACTGTTTTACTCTTATATTTTCTAATATTGAAATGGAAAGTGACTTCATATTTTAATGAAGTCATTTTTCAAACTTGACGCTCTGTATGAAATAAAACAGGGAGAAAAAAGCAGCCCTTGCCGAGTTTCTTGCCGGTTCTTCTCGGTACAAGGTCTCCCGCCGTAGATTTACGAACCAATGGCGGAGCATTCGACTTTCACAAGTGCTTGTAACAGCCTTGACTGAATAAATAATTTTGATTTGATTTGATACATTGACTAAGGAAAATCTTATCTATTACCATGGACGTTTATAACAATTATTTATCGAAAAAAAAAGTTTTTCTGCTCTGAAGAACAACTTTTTTTTTCGATAAATAGTTTAGTTTTGCGGATTTCTACGTGTTTGCTTTCCAGCGTCGATATCAGAACGGAGATTTAAATATCTCATACGTAAATCGATTATTATAATATCGATATTCACACATCGATAATTATTGCCCAAGCCTACTGTCATTTAGTTTGATGATGTTTGAAGCGTCATGACAACGGATAAACCTCAACAAACAAGAAAAGAGTCGAAATGAAATCAAGTCAAAAAAGTTTAATAAAATAAAATAGAAATTTAACAGAAATCGATTAAGTTAACAAAAATGATAGTTTTCAATATATGGTCTACCTTGCAGTGGTATTTGAGACCTTTCATCAAATGGTTTCTTAGAAAAACTACTCGACTCTGCGAATTGCAGAGGATCTGCTATGGTGAGAAACCTGGAGCCTCGAGGACATGTGCAATAGAAAAATCTTTGCTGTTATCCCGCACCCCATGTGTAAGAGAGATAGTTTCTTACTTGGATTCAGTAGTGTATGACAGAAGATTTATTCCAGAAAATTTCAGAGAAATCTTAGATCCATCAGTATCCGTAATAATGAGAGCAAAAAACATTAAACCATCACTTCATGGGCCCTTCATCACTTCATTTAGAAACTGTCTTGAACAAATTTGGAGTTACAAATCTTTAGTAGATGAGGTTGAAGAACTTCGTCGCTCTCAATTTGATAGTAATAATCCTGAGCACGAGGAAAAATTGCTCAGATTGTGGACATTATTAGTTCCCGATGTTAAACTAGAATCAAGAGTAACAAAGCAATGGCAACTCATTGGATTTCAGGTTTGTAAAAACATTCTTCAAACATAAATATTAATATACACTCAATATAAACTCATTAATGTTATTTTTTTTTATTCCTAGGGTGATGATCCAAAAACGGACTTTCGTGGAATGGGTGTACTTGGTCTGGAGAATCTGTTATATTTTGCTTCTGAATATCCACAAGCTTCAAGTCATGTCTTAAGCCATTCTCTACATCCTAAATATGGGTACACATATGCCATTGTAGGAATCAATATAACATCAATGGCATATTATCTGTTGCAAGATGGCTCAGCTAAAACATATATGTTTAATGCTAAACAACATATGCCTAATGTAAACTTGTTCCATAGGTTTTACTGCTACCTCTTTTATGAATTTGATAAAATGTGGATAGAGGCAAAACCTGAAAACATAATGGAGTTCTCTATTATTTTTAAGAAATTTGAAAGTGCTATAAGAACAGAATTAGCAGATCCAGCTACAGTATTTAGAATAAATATTGAAATAGACACAATTTAGTGTATGGACATTTATAATTTAAGTAGGAACAAAAGTACATTGTCAGTTGTATTATGTATGACATACAATTTACATTTCTTTCAGCTATCATGTAATGATGTGAATTCATACTTAATGACAATAAGTTTGTACTAGTCACATAGCACAATACATTTCAATATGAATGTTGTTTATGAAGCAAAGCACCAATAACGTTTGACATGGCTTTAGATGTGTATTTATTGAAATTTGTATATTTATTGTAAATTAAAATTAACAATAAAATAAAACTGGATTAGAATCATCTTTGTTAAACAAAATCTTCACCCAATTTACAAACTCAAAAGAAATAATCAATTTATTATGTATGATTTCATTAATCATCTCAACTTTGCATGCAATATATAAATTCAAAGGCTTACAATACTATTTTATATCTGGATCTGGCAGAGAATCTTAACTTATTATGTCACATCAGAACATGGGCTTAATTGCAGTTAAAATTAAATTTTATATAGATTATGTTACTAAACATGAGGCTGTGGTATTTGCATATTATTCCTTATTGTAAATCCTTATTAAATAAAAGATATTTTCATTCAAATATGAGCTATCTCAACTATTTAACTATTTTTTTATTTCTTACATACCTAATACATACAAAGTAGAAATATTAGATCTAATATTTCTACTTTTGGAAAAAAAATCTTTTTTCTATTCCATAATATTTTATTTTATATATCCAGTTAATTAAAAATAATAATTGGACGGACATCTATACATGAACATATTATTTGTATAGTAACAGATACAGAACAAAAGTGGCTCAAACAGTAAGTACATTCATACTGACTGCTACTATAGCTTGATGATACTCTTATGTCTTATATACGTAGGAAAACCTTTTTTCCTTTAGCAACTGAAAAAAGGAACAAGAAGACAGTGGAAAGAGAGCTAATGATACCAATTCAGTTACTATTAAAATATATCAATAAAATACTCATATTTATAGATTATAAAAGTATAAATAAAAACAATTCATTTTAGTAGTAAAATTTAACAATGAATATATAATGAAAATATATCAGTTTCACAATTATACAATTGAATCAAAATATAAATGTCAATTGAAGTAAAAGTTTCATTTCATGGTTAATTCTTCATACAAAAATCCAATCAAATACACTTTAGCTTTTGTAGTTGGCATGTTGTTTCGTTGTTTAAATTATTGTTTTGAGTTTTGTATTATGACTTGTAGAAAAAAACTAAAAATGAATTTTTCACCCTCCTATACATTAAGCCAGCTAGCTGAAATTCATCCAACAGTACTATTAAGTGGAATTCGACCACTCAACAAATAGAAAACATGTCAAATAAGTAGTTTAATGGAACTGTTCCATGAAAAGGCCAGCCATGAAATTAAATGGTTAATTTATAAAGAGTTGGCTCCACATGTACATTCCCTTCCAAATGAAGCTGGTGGTAGATTTTTATGTCATTCTATTACATTATTATTATATAGATATGAACTGTATAAAATATTATATAGATAATGTATAAAATAGTCTTCATAAATTCACATGTGTGATGAAAATGTGAAATAGATATTTCACATTTTTTTCTGTAAGCCATTACTTACCTATTATTTTCTTATCATTAATAAAAAATAGGCATATCATCTTTTTGATTGAACATAATAGATATTATCAGTTTAGCAACTAAATATATTATTTTCAGTTAACCACACATCAGATTATGGTTATCATACATGGTATATTTCAGATAGGGTAGGTACCTTACTATTACCTAAAAAATTTACCCTGAATAAAGCAATGTTCCAAATTGATTAAACCTTAATCAAAATTAAGATATGATTTAAAGTTTAATCACCAAATTGATTGCAGAAAAACAAAGATCTGGTGCTCTTTCTGCATTGTGTACATACGAAATATGGCAAAATCACATAATAAGTTTTGTCACAGAAATCAGTCAAAAGAAATACTTGTGAGCAGCCAAATGGTTTTGAAAGACTATAATTGTTAGTAAATATTCCAGTTCACTCTAAATAACTTATCACAACATGGAAACAACATTAAAAAAATATAAAACTGTCTATTCTTAATATTATTTTTTTAAAAATAAATGCGTTATTTTATCTTGTCTCTCAATATTATTCAACACTATATACTAATGGCTATTATTTGCTTTTCTTTTCTTTCTTCACTTGTTTGACAGGTTTGGATCGGCCAGCCTTTATTAAGGCTATGAGTGCTGTGAGGGCTACTAAACCAAACCCTGCAACCCCTATTTGCCACAACCATGGGTATTTTGCTAGTATATCCAAACCTAAGTCAACACCAAACTTTATCATCTCCACACACCAGTCAACAATTTCATCACTGGAACATTTCATCAATTCATTAGTAAAAAATTAGTTGTCTTAAATAATGAAGGCATAAATAGAAGCATTATACTTACAATGGTGATGATACCAATGGCACTTTTTCACCTTTGACATTTTTGTACCAATCTTGAGCAAAAGACACAAATGATTTTATATCATTGTTTGGCAAATCATACCTATAAACTTTACCAAGACGGAAGCTGTAATTTAAAAAAAATGTAATTTAGTGATGATTACTTAAAGAATATTCTATCAATTCTCAATGTTTTACATATGTAATTAAGGTTTTGAACCAATAACTTATTCTTCTATTTACATAATAATAAATAATATCATATCAAAGCTGGAAAGCAAACACATAGTAACCCGCAAAACCAAAATTGTTGTTCAGCGCAGAAAAACATTTGTTTTCTTTTTTAATAAAAAGATTTTCCACTTTTAATATCTATTTTGGTTTTGCAGGTTACTACGTATTTACTTTCCAGCATCAATATGTACTAATTAGTTACAAACACAGCTGTTCCAATGAGCTTCTGGTGAGAGACTGATGATATAAAATATTTAATAGATTTTGCTCTTTTATATTTAACCATGAAAAATAGATACAACATACAAGAGAAATGATGGAAGTTTTGTAACTCTAAATCTCTTAGCTGTGTTGATGCCAGCCAAATTTGCATCCATACGGGCAACATTGATACGTCCTCGCAATGTCGCCCCCACTCCTTCCCACACAGCATGTAATCTTTGACATTCGACACAAGACGCACCGTAACTACAATATAAAAAAGGATCTATTTATTTTAATAAATTAATTAGTGAATATAAATTATGTTCAATTAAGACCCATTTGAAACTTACAACATGACAAACCAATCACCAGTGGTGGCACCAGTAGCGGCTTGTGTTATGTGTTCAAATATTTTATCAGTTAACTCCTTCACTGCAGGGGTTTGATTGGTTTCTAAGAAATTATAAATATCAGTCTCATCTGCTTCTCCTAAAATAAGATAACAATCTAATTCATAAATTAATTGTAGATAATTATTGATCTAGGCTCAATTTGGAAATATTGAGTAATTTTGTTTGTTTATTTGTAAACTAGATTCACCAAAACCAATACTAAAACTTACCATTATACAACAGGGGTATTCCATGTCTAAAAAAGACAATAGCAGGTTCTTTAGTAGGACTATATAGCTTTACTAAATGACTATTAACTGCTTTCACAGTTGGAGCATTAAGATGCTTTTCGAAATCCTCTTGCAGACTTTCTAAATGACTTTCAAACTTGTCACAAATATTACAGTTTGGTTTAGCTGTAAATAAAGAAATGCAGGCATAAGGTATTCTTATGAAATACTCTGTTTAAATTTAAAATTGAAAACCAAAAAGGAAAGTGTATTCTGTTGGATAAAAATATTTAAATTATTGCAGCGTGATAAAAATGAAGATATATTGAAATAGAAATTTAGTTCTGCGTAAAAAGTGTAAGAATATTTACAATACAATACAACAGTATTTAAAACTTACTGAACAAAACAATAAGTTTTTCGTAATCTTTTATGAGTTGTAAAATATCATCGTCGCTCACGCTTTGTAATACATCTTCAGATTTTAATGAACCCCAAAAAAACATCAAAACACAAATAATTAATTTCATTGTGTTACTTTCTGTGCGTATTAGTTTTTAAACTTATAATACTACTTTTTGTTTTAAACTATGGTTATAATTAAAACAAAATTAAATCCAATAAAAACAACCACAAAAATCCGCTTACTCAAAGAGTAAAGTCAATAACATTTTTCTATGAGTAAAGTCAATAGATAAAGTCAAAAGAACTTTAGTTCTTCAGTTTATTACATTGTTAACCATTGAATGCAGTACAAATGTTCTAATAAACATTTTTTTTTTAAATTATATATTAAATCAGTAATCATTACATTACTAAAAATAGTATTATGAAGTTTCTACGTCCAATATTCGTACCAAATTAAATTTAATGAGGATTGAGGAATTATTTAAAAAAAGAATATTATTTCCCGAAATCAATCTAGATGTTGCTACGTTATTTTCTTGATTTCTCTATTCCTTCTGGTTTTCTTCCACGTATAAAAGTAAAATAGTTTTCAAAACTCAATAAACAACTCATATTCTTTTTGTACTTTTTCGTATTAGTATTGATATCCAAGTTTCTAACTTTGCAAATTTCTGTTTTTTTTATTGTGTTAATTAAAAGGAACGGAAATGATTATCTTTGATCTATTGGTTTCCTGCAAAAATCAACTTTTGCTAGAGTCGCCATCTAATGGAGGTGCTTTTTTTTAATACTTTTTCATTGTCATAATTTATACCTACCTATAGTAACTTAAAATTTTAAAACAGTTACCATTAAAATACAAATGTTTCTACTAAGGTTATATTTTTTTATAATGGCAAGATGAAAGAACGAGATACACGGCCTCAATTGTGACTCTTTTGGCTCGGATTAGCTTCTGTACAAAAAGCAATTAAAAGTATATTTAATCTGATGGGGATAAGGTTTTAATTACAATTTTTCTAAGTTATAAGTATAAAGTCCATGGATCGCTGTCACCGGCACCTATATTATTCAAATATTTAATTCCTTTAATTAGCTTTATTTATTACATTTGCTTTTATTGAAATTATTGTGTAAGTTAATTATATTTATATTATAAAATGAGATCAGTTAAAACAACAGTTAGTTTTCAAATAAATAAACGATAATCGGTTACCTTTCTAAATTCTAAGTTAAACAAGATTGCCTTGTGTATAACTTCGATCCAACAAATGATTCAGTTCTATTTATATTTATGTTATAATCAGTCAGTACGACTTGCATTTATATATCTATAATTGTACATTAAACCATTTTAACTTCGTTCATTTGACTGAGTCATCGTTTTCAAACACTGGTTTATTTTTGTCAGGTGTTCGGCAAAATCCTTACAATGGCTGATAATATCGAAGAGAAGGTAGTCATGACGCCCAAATGTAAAACCGAAAACTCTACCACATTGGTTATTGAAAGGAAAGCAGTGGAAGCTGAGGCAAGTGATAAAATTCACATTGCTGGTGGTGACCATACTGGTATCATTATTAATAAAGAAAAAGTTTATGGTAAGTATAAATGAAAGAATTTACTATTTTTATAGCTGTAAAGAAAAATGATTAAATGTGTTATTGTTGACATGTTAGATACTATTAAAAATAGAAAAAGATATATATAGTATTTTTATTATATTCTTTTATCCTAATAATTTATTTTAATATGTATTTATATAAATATATAACAAATATTTATTGAATATAAATCAAAATGAGAATGTAGGACAAATTCCCATTATTATAAAGTACCTATTAGTAAAGAAATAACTGGTAGGTATAAATATTATAAAAAGTTGTTTAGATCAGCCAGAAAGTTACAAAACTGTAGTAGGAAAATGATTAAGTTATTTTAAGTGGCCTTTTTATCCTGTTTAATGTTTAATTTGTCTTCTAATTGAATAGATTAGTATAAAACATGCTGGAATATGGTTATGAATTGAGAACAATGTTACTTTTTAAGTTATTGGAATCTATTCATGATGGAATCTTCAGTTAACAATATATTTATTCAATTATCAATCAAAAATAAGTTTTAAAATTATGAAATTCTATTTTTAATGTCACTTGTATTCATAAAAATTAGTTTTGAGAAGAAAACAATTTTCTGTCACATTAAAACTAACACTGTTTATAACTGCCATGGTAATATTTACACTTACTTATGATAGAACAATTTCAATAATGAAAAACATGCGTTCATGACTGTTACAATAATAATGTTATGAATTATTATGATGCTAAAAATTTACTATTTCAAGCTCCTTAATATGAGAAGACAAACTAATGGTTTGATAATCTGTAACAATTAACAGCTTCTAATCTGTACTAGGTCATTGAGGTAGGTGATGGGCCTCTCTTTATGTGTTATTTACATGGAAATCCAAGCCTGTGCCCTGACTGAATATACTAATTATGAATAATATTAAATATTTAATCGTTAACCAATTCAATAAGCAAAGAATGTTTCCATATGAAATAATTTCTTTCTATTTTCAGAGAATGGAGTTACAGAACCCTGTCATGCTCAGCTAGAGTTCTGGGTGTATTTGGTGTCAGTAGCTACTGGATCTCACACACGGGAGGCTCGTGCCTTACGGTTCTGGTTCAAACCACAAACACCACCAAATGAGAGGTCCTATGAAGCACAGGCTTTCTTTCGTGAACTTGTCAGTCCTCAAGACTTTCCTAAAGGTAAAGATTATATTTCAGTATAATATTCATCTTTAAATTGTAGCTTTTTGTCAGTATATATATATATATGTTCCTCAAAAAACTTCAGATAAAAATCAGAGGTTTCCAAAATTTTTAATCACACTAATAAATCTATGCTTCAATGTGTAAACAAGTGTAATTTTTAAACATTATATATTTGTAACAGGAATTTATATGAATATTTAAAACAATTGTATGTATTTTTTTTTGCATTTAATTATTTTCAGATTATGTGGGATTCATAAAAAGGATAATGAAACTGATGCAACATAAATATCATCAGCTAAAAATATTAGAGATAGAGCTAAGACAGGAAGGACGAGGATCACCACCTCCAGGTTGGTATATAACTTATAAAATAGTATGAAAACAATTGTTATTGTCCTGAGAATCAAATTTGGCTGTGTTATCATAACACAATTAACTTTTATTTTGATGGGTCATGAAATGCTCTAACTTTGTTTTATTATATATGTTTAATTATATATATGAAAAAGAATCAATATTTTAAGGAAGATTCAATTTTTAATTACATGTATGTACATATCCAATTCAAAGACATATTGAATCAAATGAAATATATTCCCTATTTATAATTATTGCTTTAATTTTACCTGCTCAAACTCTGAATATATAAAATTAGTTTTTAAATATATGTATATGCTAATTTTATAAAGTGTAATATTTTCTTGATTATTGTATCCTTATTTATCATATACTTCATCATACAGAGACAAATGGAGTAGCCAGTAAGGGTGTTGTATACAACTATTGTAATGGGTGTATGTATATTATTATAATTCAGTACAATGCATGACATTATCTTGTCACCTATGTTTTTGTTTCCCATGTTCCTATTCTACATAATATAATGTATTTATAAATTAAATTCTCCAATCGTCTGAAAGCCTAAAAAAAGCTATGATAATACTATTACTTTCCACTTTATATCATATATAGTTTGAAGAGTTTTAGATTTTTCATCTCTGAGGTACCTACTGGGTTTGATTCCCAGTCGGGTCAATATAGAAAACTAACTGTTCCATATTGTCTCTAGTCTGGGTGTGACTGTACTTTCACTGTATTGGATTTCCATTATACCCTTGTATAATGGAAATTAAAAACTTTCTGAATAATGCAAATTGAGTATATCATGTTATATTTATTTACTTTCATAAAATAATTGGGTACCTGAAACCTAACCTTTTTAGTATGTGATATCTATATTCTATAAGTATTATATTTTATTTAAATAGGTAGTTAATTAGCTATTATCAATAGTTTTAGTTTAGTGTACTTGATTTCTAATTGAATAGACTGTAGCTAGAAGTTTTTGATGTAATAGTTAGTTGTTAGGGAGTCACTTTTCTGCACGAAAAACTTCATCGTAATAAGTACTTTTACTTTCCGCCTAAAAATCTTTTGCCTTGAAAATGATATAATTTTTTGTTAATATAACTTTTTTAACAGCATTTTTATGCAATAACCATCAAAATTCTTAATTAATATCAAAGTTTTTATGTAGCGTCATATTTCAGAAATTTTACCAAATTATAATTATTAATAATAAACCATATCAATTGTTATAAGGCACTTTTTTGGCAGGCAAACTTGATAAAAAAAAAGTATTGGTAGATAGTAAAACTGTCACTAAAATAATTTAACACATTTCTTGATAATCATAAATTAATGGATACACTATTTATTTGCAGGATGTGTTTGTCATATTTAAGCATTTTTCATTAAGAGTATTATTAAGTATAGCATTGTCAATGCAACATTTGATCAAATATAATAATTGAAAAAAATCTATTTTATGAATTTCCACTCTGTTTTCATGATTTTATAAGTGTTTATAGGCTAAGTTTCAATCAACTCGTCAAAATGAGATTTGATTATAAAAGTGCCACACCTCGAAGTAATGCTGACAAATGTTTATATTTGTTTCTCTTTAGTAAAACATTATTTTTAAATCCAGAATAAGATAAACTGTCGATAGACATCGACTGATCCGCTATATCATTTATGGACGGTAGATGGATAAGCATAATATTATAAACTGTCAAGTGACAGTTGATCAATTAGTATAGTAGAAACTGTAGATCGAACATGTCGACTAATCCGTTTTATCATCGATCTATTGCCGCGATCGGCAAGTGATTAATTGAAGAGAACACCTTATTACTAGCTATCTTGTGGCGCCGTAATATAAATTATTTATGCATAGCCTTTGTTACTCGCTAATAATTCAACTTTATATCGGTGAAAGAATGTTTAATATAGAATTAACATACAAAAAAAAACTATTGTTTCTACTTTATAATATTAATTATTGTAGATATTCAACTTAATCAAAAAGTTTCTAAATATCAAAGTAATATTGTTGGTTCTTCCTAATCAACCTATATAATTTTCAAAGGTGTATCCACATTCGACCTTTTTAACATTGATAAATGATTACTAGACGTTATTTCACGATTAAAGCATTAATATTACAAATTTGAACTCGCCTTTAGAATTTTCACGTCTCACATTAAAATAATAATAACATTGATACAAGCATATATCAATAGTGAACAATTTAATTTTGTAAAGGCTTGTGTGTGGTTTGTCATTAACATTATGTAGATGTGTGTCGTTTGCACTTATTTTCTTACATATGTCAATGAAATGTTTTCTTTGATAGTTTCAATGATTTTATTATTGCTTGCAGCTTTTATCGAAGACTCAGCGATATGTCAAACACCAGTTATATCTGAACAAAGAGTTCTAGATATGATAGAGAATGCATATCCTAACCCTCTAACTGTCGAAGACTTTGTAACGTAAGTAACTGACACATAGATATTAAAAGTTAACGCTTATAAAAGCCACTGAAACTATAAGGTATTCTACTCTATTTGAAATAGTAACTTGTAAGTGTTTTAATTTAATTTGAAAAAGACTTAAATAAACACGTTTACTTGCGTTAAATCAAATCAAATTTAAACTTTACTGTTATACCAGCGAAAACGCTGTCCGACATATTCTTAATGTCATTCCGATATGTGCATAAAACAAATGCATTGATGAAAAGATTTCAATAAAGTACCAGAACAGTACCATCTAGCGATGGACTACAAAATAAAAAGATATAAGTAAGGTAAAATAGCGCCGTTTTGAAATAGCATTTTTAATAAATAGGCATATGTTTACTAATCTGACATATATTGCAGGAGTGACGTCACGCTATAGCGAGACGTGTTTCAAGTCATGTGATACACAAAATTCTCGATTTTTTAGTTTTAAAATAAGATAGTCATGCGATTTATGACTCAAAATAAGAATCTCTATGTTTATTACGATGTAAATTTAGATTTTTGTGCAATTGCGTGACCTATTTATAAATACCGAAACATATTTTGTTCATATTCATGATATGACCGTTATAGGGAAGACAGGCGACTCCCCACTAGACCTTTGTGTGATCGACCAATACTTGTATGTATCAGTAAGATAAAAAAAGGGTTTTTACATGATTATTTTGACAACATTCATTATACAGTTTAAATTTATGTTCGGTAGTCGCAAAATCAGTAGAGCTGCTCTGCGACAACGAGGATTATCGCTGTGCGTCATATTAATAAAAACTGACTGTATCTTACTGAATTTGATATTTTATAAATCTATAAAAAGGCTATTGCCTATTGCTCTTGAAGTGCATTTTTGACGATTATTTTTACTGCATCACAGATGTTTGTTAATAGCCTTAACTAAATATTTTACGAGTCCCAATACTTATGAAATTGTTCGTGAATGTGCTTATTCTATGTTTTAATTGATTTTACAATCTGCATTATATTTTAAAAGTCGTGTAATTTTTAAGGGCGGGTAAATGGTCCAAGACTGAAGTAAAGGATGCGTTAGAATCACTAGAAGAGAAAGGACTGACGAGGGCTATGTCTGATGGATTATACATACGACAACATAGTGTTGATACACAGGTAAGAGATTCCACTGATTATTATCGCTATATTGGATCAATTGATTTAAATAGTTTATTTTATTGTTTTAGCTTCGATTTCCAAAATGCCTGCAAAGAAGTTTAAATCAGCTATCATAACATAGATCGTAGCGGTTATGAATTTCACTTTTACAAAGACTAAAGAAAAAAATAAATTTTGAGCAAATTCCCATGGTCTAGAGCTGCCACAACCAAAGAAATCTCATTCGGGTTAGTCAAAGAAGATAGAAAACAAAGTCTCGAATCTTGCTTGAGATATATTTCTGAGCCTAGCTGAATCGTGAAATAATCTTAAGAATTTCAACTATGTTCCTTTATCCAAATTTAATTACTAGAGTTAGTACTAAAAATTTTCCTATCACCTTTTTAGGACTTCTTTTAGCTATTAAGAAGTTACAAAAACTAAATGCCAGTTTAACGACAAAATTTTTGAAACCAATATAATAATAGTTTGTTCTAAGAACAGGTAAAATATGGACAATAACGCATTATTAGAGTGCTGACAAAAAACGATACGGATTGCCATCATATACCTCTGTTTCGTTTCCGCGTAGTAAAATGTTTTATTTTATAGGACGCTATAGGTCCATTACAACAATTATATTCCTATGTTTGTTATATGTCAATAGGCTTGTGTCATTCAAGTGAAAATACTGGCTTCTGATATATGTTCATAAAATATGAACCATTTAAAATTATAAATATTTAACACAATAAATTTTATGACACTAATTTGGGAAATATTACGCTTTGAAAACTTTATAAAATCGGGAAACTTTTCTATAAACATTTGCTAAAACACGTATGGCATTAGTTACATATAATGTAACAACTTTCATTATCTATACTAATATTATAAAGCTGAAGAGTTTGTTTGTTTGTTACTACTGGTTCGAATTAAAAAAATCTTTTTGTGTTGAAAGACCATTTATCGAGGAAGGCTTTAGGCTATATAACATCACGCTGCAACTATTAGGAGCGAAAAAATAATGGAAAACGCGACGAAGTCGCTGGCGGCCACTAGTAAATTATAAAAATTACAAACATAAACGCACAAATAACAAAGATATTACAAAGATTGCCCAGAGGTCCATACGTTTATCTCTGCCATAGCACTGTGTGACGTCAATCAGTGCCTTTAATTTGTAGGGAGTGTGTTCAGCCGACTAGCAGTTCCTCAAACAGCACCGCATAGAAACTATTTATCGCAGATTTGCTTTTACTTCTACAACATTTCTCAGATATTAATGGACTATTTATTAATAAGATAAAAAAACAATTGTCAACTATACAACTTTGTGTTCAGGTGGTAAAACAAATGCCAACTCTTTGCTCCTCACGACAACCGAGCATAGCAGTCGTCACAGCATTATATTGTGAGAAACAAGCTGTTGACGCCATGATGGATAACCAGGAAACATACGTCCGGTATACAACAGTCGGTAAGTGGATATATATTATAAAATACGATTCTGAATTAGTGATAAAAGTTGGCTTCACATATAATAATTCTTTACTTAATTAAACTGTCTAAACGAATACCCAATTCTAATAACTGTTGTTATTCTAAGAAAGACTGCACGGATAATTAAAAATTAAGTCTAGCTGTTGATTGTGTCATTAGGCTTGGTTTGGGAATAATTATACGATATCTATATTTATTATCAAAATAATTGATGTCGATATTTTTTGTCAAAATAATCGATAAATATCGCCGTAATGTTTAATTTCCAATATCGATATTATTAGGTATTAAATTCATTTTTATGCAGTTCAGTGTGATTAGTAGCAAGCGAGTTCAGTACGATTATTCTCTGAAATTGGGTAGGTTTTCTCTCCTCTAAATTGCATAATACTCTACTCAATTTGCATAGTATTTGCTACACACGGCTGCACAACAGGTTACTATAACAAGTCAAATTTTTGCAGTTGATTTTAAACTTTACACTCACAAATTAAGTGAAGGAAATTGACAGATTTATATAAGCTGAGCTCAGAACAGTTTCAGTCTATGATATAGGATGGTGAATAAGATTTCGTCATAATGGCTCATTAACATTGCTTGACCTATCAATGCAAGCCCGCATGCGGAAAGCTTAATAATAAAATGAATGTTTGTTTTTATGTCTGCTACTGAGATAACCAATTAGGATTAACGACAAATCTTCAAAAATATTATAAAAGTATACATTAAAGGCATATGTTCATATGAAATTATTTTTTTCGCAAATATACAAGATAAGACAAAATATTTATTATTTTTAATTTTCATTTGAATAAGGTGCCAAAACGACCGTGAATTAATGTACTCCATACTACAACGTCAATCTTTTGTATACTTATTTTACAAAAATATAACGATCGATCGATTCTTATTTACAACTTTTTAGATTTTTTATAATAGGGTATTACACCTATTTTTGAAAAGTATCTCAATGAGGAATTATTAAAAAAAAAGCACCTCCACTAGATGGCGTCTCTAGCAAAAGTTGATTTTTGCAGGAAACGAATGGACCAAAGATAGCCATTTCCGTTCCTTTTAACTAACATATTGAAAAACTGAAATTTGCAAAGTTCGAAACTTAGAGATTAATTAAAATACCAACTATACAAATAGAATATGTGTTGATTATTGAGTTTTGAAAACTAATTTACTTTTATACATGAAAGAATCCCGGAAGGGTTGTCATGGAGAAATCAAGAAAGTACCGTAGCGACATGTAGTTTTATTTCAGGAACTATTTTTTTTAAATTACTTCCTCATTCGAAGGCCTTAACCATAAAAAAAAACATTCAGTCAGAAAGTGTCATAAAACTATATCTAAAGATTTCACGCTAATTTGACGAAAATGCTGGACGCTGTGTTGCTCTGTAGTTATGACGTTAGTTGGCATTGTAAACAAACGCGTTGCTATTGGATTCTTATATTTTTATCCTCAATTAACAATATTTTAATGCCATTTTTATCATAAAATATATGTTATTTGAACGTAATTATAAAAAATACTTAATAGGTAATGGATATCTTTGATTTCGGTTTCATTTATTATCTGAGAAAAATCATAATATGTTTGTATTTTATATTATAGTGAACATTTCTAAGCTATATATCGACGTAGACATGTTAAATGACGTCATAGTAAGTTTACTGAAATAACGGAAGTTATTGTTTCTCGTTTGCCTTCTCACGAGTTCGTATAAATCTATTTTGTAAGGATAGAAATAATTACGTAAATTACAAATATTTAGAACCGATTGCCTCCACCATTTAAATATAGAGCTTGAGTTAAGGTTTTATAAAAATATTTATTAATTGATTTTTATACAGTTTTATTGGTGACTTATTATTTATTTCAACATGAGTTGAACTACATAGAGAATAGAAGAGTGGAAATATAGACATAAAGCAACTTTTGGGTTATACAAATATCATGCAATCGGAAGTTGACATCTAAAAGATCATGTTGTCTCTTTTCAACTAGTGAAATTTTTCTTCAGTAAACAAAGGTGTCACGAGTTTGACAGTACCAAATTTTTTACGTGACGTCGTGACTTATTGCGTTCGTACCACCTGTCCGCCATGTGTAAACTAGCAATTTTATTATTTAAGAATATATACATAATTTTAGATTACCAAAAGAGAAACAAAATGGTTTAGATGTATTGAAGTAGAAAATATTAGGTATGATGCAAAAGCTACTTTTATCTATTCATTTTACTGAAAGATTTTTTTATCCAAACTTTAAATATAGTAAAATTGCGATATGATGCATTGCCAATCAAATATCAACGATATTGTTTGGCTATCCAAATACGTACAAATTGACCTCGATCGCTTTGAAATCCTAAATGGGTTAAAATATCCCTAATACAATTTAGAAAATATACTAAAGAAATTGAGAAGTTACTGAAATATAATTTTGATGAAAAGATTACATATTATTAGATTTTTAATTGAATAATATGACGATATTATAAGAAACATTTTTAATAGTCACGACAAAGAGCATGATATTTACCTCAAACATTTAGGAAGGTTGTAGGTAGGTAGGTGGTAGTGATCTTGGGCAGTGTGTCACACTTCCCATGGTTGCAAAATTAAAGTTATGTTAAAACTATTAAAATGTCAACTTTACAATATGTATGGTATTCATGGAATTTAATCTGTTCGGTAACGGATTTTGACGAAATTTGGAATACATAATTCATATTATAAAGAGGGAAGATTTTAATGTTTGTTTGCTTCGAGTAGACTTTTTTCCCACTGGACTGATTTTGAAAATCTTTTACCTGTGGGAAGCTACATCATACGCTGGTAACATAACTTATAATTACTATACTAACGCGAGCGAAGTCGCAAGAAACATTAGTTTCAGATGTCCAAAGAAACATGAAAAACAGCTTACAGATTTTTAAATGATTAATTAATTTACACCATTTTTAAATGATTAATCAATTTACACCATTTTTAAGTAAATTATAAACACGCTGTAATTAATTCACAAATATTTGATTGGTAAGTAAGTGTGAAATGAATAGAAGTGTAATAGGTAATATCATGTGTCGCACCCTATGACAATCAGCCATCGGAGGATTTGCATTTCAAGTTTAGACATATACGCCTTTTTCGAAGGTATGGTCCGTCCGCTTCTTTATGTCAATGTTGAACTACCACGCATGAAACAGAATATTGATTTATTGTCAATGTCAAAATACATGTCGATGAATCATGTACAATTTTGATTTAAAAATTAATTAACGCGTCTAGTGATGTGACATATTTCACAATTAAGCTTATTTTTTAACTTATTTCATACCGTATAATTAAGTCTTAAAATAAAGTCATATGAAAACTACCACAATGCGATTCGGACCGTATGATGGCCGGATGCTAGGTTTCGTTTCATCTACTACGGAAAAGTATTCTTTTGTCATAAGGCTAAAAAATGCACATTGACAATTAAATTTGAATTCATTTCCACAATTATAAGTAAACATATAAAAAGCCTTTATTATGATACAATAATTTTTAAAGTGCTTCACAATTGTCTTGATTTTCGTCAGCTGCTATAACCTCAAGATATTAAATACAAGCTTTCCGCCAGCGCAATTAATAGCCTGAGTAAAATAAAATGCGTTTAAATGTAGTCCAAAAAATTCAAGATTTTTAAATAAAAAAATGGTTGTTGTGCCTCACTCAGGTATAGTGTAACGCGGACTTTTTGTAGATATTTATAAGATCTACAATTAATTAGAACATTTTATGGTTCTATTTTTTATAGCTTAGGTAGCGTAACGCAAAATAAGTAACTTTTCTGGTTGATTTTTTACACCTTGTGTTCGAAAAACCCAAATATTTTACGGAACCCTATTTTTTTCCAAAATAAAATTTAGCCTATGTTACTCGTGGGTAACGTAGCTTTTGAATGGTGAAAGAATTTTTAAATTCGGTCGAGTAGTTTTTGACCCTATTCATTATAAACAAACAAACAAAGTTTTCCCTTTAATGATATTAGTGTAGATAAATTACACATTTCCCTGGCCTCCAGATGAAAAGATGCTTAGTTATTATTATATTTTTGGTAAAATTATCATTAAAGATAACTAGTATCGTAACACAACCATTAAAAAAATGTGACAGGCCAATCAATGTATAGAAAGTGGGCATTACTCTTTCCGCCAACAATGTGTACCTTAAACTCAATATATTAGGGAGTAATAAGGATATTCAGGGAAAACAAACAAGTAGTCTTATAAGTGGTAGACGACAGTTATGAATGACTAAAATAAAGCTCCATTTAGAAAAAAATTGCATTCACATTGCTATGTTGATGTTTTTCCATGAGCTACTAAAACATTGGAAGAATATATTATTCATGAATGTCTTATCTCAATCGGCTCAATACTAATTTTATTTGCGCATTTGTTATCTTGATATTAAGAAATAAAACAATTGTTTTATGAATTAATGTTGTATATAACATATAATCACAATAAAAAAAAAGCATGAAAATAATATTCATCAATTACTATGAATTAGATAATATTACATTGGTTGACTCATTAAATAATACTTTTACTTAAGTAGAATCTAAATTAAATAATATATATCTACATAAACAAATTATAATTATCCCTTATAACGTTTGATGAACTGAAGCTATATAAGTATTTTTTTGTGTTAATTATTTATAACAGTATCATATTTGTAGAACAAAAAAATATGCAAATATTATATATTTATTAACAAAATTCATTATGTATTGCTTAAAATTTACATATTATTATTATGTAACTTCAAAGCAATACACAATAGTAAAAGTAACATAATTAAAATAGCATATTAATAAATGAAATCAATATTTGATGAAACAATAACAGAATAATATTACTTAACTACCTGGTGGGAAAAACAGTGACTAAATTAAATTTTGCCATGAAATTATACAAAAGATTATACTCATATTATGATACATTCATAAAATATTGCAACAAAAACGTAATTTCCTCAAAATTTAAAAGGCATTGTAAACTTCATTGACAATAATTTCATGCTAAATGTGTCATTGTCAATCCTGATATAATATATTTATTTTTATGTTTTAACACATTTCTCTTATTTAATACTATGTTTATGAATGTTCATTAAAAGTCACATAATACTCATCTCGATCAGTTTATTATTTTAAAGAAGTTATAGGATGACAAATATCTTCTTAAACACAAGTGTGCATTCTTATTGTTATGTCAAAATCTAAAATAAGCTTTAATACTAAACACACTACAAAGAAATAATATTATATTCAATTTCTGTGTTTACTATTTAATACCCTATTTTTAAGAAATGCATTCTTCAACAATCATAAATATAAAAATATTATAGTTGTGTAAATCCTACATCAAATATTTCAAGAGAATTGAAAATCTAAAGTGTTTACCCTTTCAATATCTCCATTCAGCATCAAAAACTTTACACTATTTAAGTTGTGTTTTAATGGGACTTTTGCCAAAGATGATCCACCTATATAAATATCCGCAGCAGGTATACTATCAAAATTAGTATTTACTAAGCCTATACTGATAACGAATGAAAAATTACTATCTGAAACAAAAAAGAAATTAATTAAATATATGATATGAATAACTAAAGTTTTAAGTGCTTCACATCATAGTGTAGTCAAATTACCAAAATTAAATCAAAATATTTTTTCTTTTTTTCAAAGGTTTTTTTTACCATTGAAAGCAATTTTTAATAACCACTTTTTTTTTAAATACACCTGTTACTAACATACACAAGACTTCACAAGGAAAAAACAATAAAGACTACTTAAGTGGTGTTGGAGTTCATTTCAGACAAACATAGTGATCTAGCATTTTCATATTTTAATGATGTAATAAACATACCTGTGAAAAGATCTGTTGCAGTTATGTCCTCATCACTTTGTATAATTTCTTCGATTCCATTCTGTACTACTTTGAGTATAATTTTATCTGTATTATTTGCATTATTGGGAAATAAAGCTTCAAATTTACATGCTATGTTTTGATAATCAGGTGAGATATTTCCAGTTAGCAAATTTACTGACATCCTGGAACATAAATTTGTTGATTAGGTATTAATTGTTGAGAAGTCTTATTATAACATTTAAATGAAAATTAAACTACACTAAAAAATCCTTAAAAATCAACCAAAGGTACTTTGAGATGGATCTATAAATTAAAATGAATGAAATAAAAATATTTATAAGCATAGCATTGTGAATGCAAATTTGATCAAATATAATATATATGTGTTATATTTACGATGTTAGAAATATGGGCGTGCATGTTATGGATATATTAAAATAATAAAACTTACGAGTTTGGATTAGTCTTCAAGATGCCTCCAATTGTTATTCTGTCACCGACACTAGGTTTTCTTGGTAAAACAAACATGATTTCGTTTTCGTATTGTGGTTCGGGCCAGGGCGGTGCTCTTTCACTATCTCCGTTTAGCCGAGGTTGATACACTAACTCATTGTCCAACTGCTCTTTAGTATCCCTATAAACCAAATGAAACAGTGATTTCAACAAGTTAGGAATTTACCATACCTTCAAGATGCGTCATACACAGGTTAAAATCACTTCACCATATAGAGTTCTTATCTTTTATTATTTGTTTTAAACTGTTAGTACACAATCAATAGCGTTAGATAACCTGAAAGTAATATTGCCGTTTAGGTTATTTTCAGCTTGTATTGTACGCAATGATACGTATTCTTTCCACTATACATTTCCGTGCTTGATTGCCCACGATTTAATAGGTATTTGTATGTCTACATTTAAAGATTCCGAAGAAATAGCGATTACATCTTATCTTCCTTGATAACTTTAGATGACTGTCACACTGACATTAGGCACTTGACATTGACGCAAATTGACGTAACTTCGCGTTGAAAAAAGGACGTCCGGAAATCACTAACTTCGCTACATATTTTTGCTGTGAAATTCCACAGCATCCATGTGCATACCCTGTCGTCTCTTTGGATGTTTCTAAATTGTGGTACTTTCATCCTTATTATTAATTTTTTTCTCACCATTTCAAAAATACCGTAATATTGAAATGGTACACGGCATTTAATTATTATTAAGATACGAGTCTGTAATTATTATCAATTAAGCGATACCACTAGCTCTTATTTGATAGGCTCATAATATTTAAAAAACTAATTGTACACAAGAGTTTAATTCATACCCAGCTATGCAATCCCAACAAGCCTTTAACATCTTCAAATATTTTGGTATAGATACACTAATAGTTGACACGTCAGCTACTTATACGGAATAATGTCTAGACGAGATTGGTCTTGTAAGGTAACTGTGCCTAATGCGTTTACGATAGAACTGGGTAAAGAAATGACGTAATGATCAAAACAAACACGTTAGCTAAGCACAGCACACACCTTCGAGTAAACTACAACATATCATGTAATGGCATGGCACGTAGTCGCGCTTCGAGAATTCACTCTCTACTGCAGACTGTAGACTATTGTCGGAAACTTGTCTCGAGTTACACGTGTTGTTAGTGCAGCTGTAATACAATAAACAGATATGTTAATAAGTTCTAAACTCGTTTTTAGGGATTAGAAAGCCATGACGTAAACATTGTACGTGTTTAGTTGTCGCATCATTCGATTTTATATCTTTAAGTACTTTCAAAGATTGTGCAATTTGGTTGTTATTCCCAAGGTTATTCTACCAATTCGTTGACCAAACATAACTTTCCTAATTCTTGTAAACTTACGGACATATTGATGTGGGCAGGAACAGATAAATGCTTTACACAGTCAACGATATCCTAAAGTTCTATTAATTTATCAGATACTTAGTAGTTATTTAAAAAAAAGACTAATAATTTTTCCTGTGATGCTCTCAGCCAGCATTAATCTTTAATGCTTGATAAAATTGAAATGAAGTTCTATAATATTTTTTCCCGGAATTATTTGAAAGGAAAATATATATGGTCTATTCGTAATAGAGGTCACGGCGCCGAAACTATTTAAGTAAACTGACTGCTTTTCTTTTTTCAAAATACTGGCCCATGAAATACTTTTGAATATCATCCAAGAATTTTAGTAAGATAAATATTTTCTAATATGTAGACTTATTATTTTTCCAAGAATACAACTTTATTAACTTTACCCAAGCCTTATAATTATCTCTTGATCGTGACAAATAACATTCATGTTTTTGTTTATGTAGTTACTATTAATTGTGATAAATGACTTGAGAGGCACTTTTTGGAATGAAAAATTTACCCATAGGATAGTCTAAAATTCCAAATGTTGAAAATCTAAATGAGTATACGTCTATTTTTAACTCCTTTCGTCCAGTAGTTTTAAGGATTTATTAAGCGCCACCGAGGGCCAACGAGCGAGTTTCGAAATCGTTGAAAATTGAATCATTGTAAAAAATTAAACTCATCATGAAAGTAGTTGGAAATTGAATCATTGTAAAAAATTAAACTCATTGAGAACCCGACAAAATTATCTGATGAGGTTCTAATAGTAAATAAACAAAAAAAAAATGAAGACTTGCCTGCAAACCTTATTTTTTATTTAATTTGAGACACGATAATTTGTCGACCTTCATAGTTACGTAACTGACACACAGGGTCAGCATTGATTATCATGCTATCCGTGGGTTTTTCTTTATAGTTGTCTCACATCTTGGTAAATGTGGTTTCTTATTTCTATAATATAACAATTCAATTACCTACCTATTTTTCATGGTTAACGTTGTCTATTTCTTTTAATATTAACTATGATATTTTAAATAAGCAACAAAATCAGGACAAGATATTCGCGCGCTTATAATTTGCCTCATTTTAGCCGCAAGAGACCATCGTCATCTCTCAAATGCAAATAACAAATTCGGCACAAAATCTTATTAAATTGAGAAAAGAAATGAGGCCTTAATATTAGACCTTGAGGGAGGGAGGGAGATCCAGATTGACTAGTGCACCTGCAAACTTTGCTTCATCGATTACACGAATCAATTTCTAATTTCTAGCAAAAATGTAATCTCTATATTATCAGATTCAGTGAACTGTTTAAAATACCGTAATAGTCAATTTGTTTAATATTGGTTCATGACTGCGTACGCCTCTGATTGATCACAAAGCTTCGATAGTATCCTCCTTAACGTAACTTTTCTGTGAATAAATTATTTTCATGAAATAATTTATTAACTGAAAAGTTTTGTTTTGTTCCCAGTCTTAAAAAAATGTAATGATACCCTAAATACTGATATCTGTTTAGTGATTTAAAAGTAATACATAGTGCAATAAAGAAACTCATTACATTAACCTTAACCACAAGACACTCTTTGTTTTTTATGGATTTTGCCGTGTTTCACATTTTTGTCAATACATACATGTATATCAAAATTAGAATCTTTATCGCACTTATCACGATTCTATGAAGAGTAAATAGCCAAACAACTTCTTAAAATGTTTTAGTCGTCTGTTTCAATAAGTTTATTATTATCTATTGCGCGTAATGCATTTTTTTGCCTAGTATCTCTATTTATGATATTCTAATTTAAAATATTATAAATATTCTGGTTTGTAATAAAAACCAATTTTGTAATTTTATTTGCTGAGTTTTTTTAAATATTTCGATTTTAATAATCAAAGGCGGTTGAGAATCTTAAGTTAATCGGTTACATGAAGCCTCTGATACTACGCTATTTTTTAGAACTACCATAAAAATTTTCGCGATATGTTGTTATTTTGTGATCTTTTTCTTTTACGAATAATTATTTTTGCTTGATACGTCGAAGTCAATAAATTGACCTAGGCTAATAATCGAATTCAAAGGTGACACGATATTAAAAGGCGACGTCATCTTCAATCATTTTACTATTTTTTGCGATGGAAGCATTAAACTTCGATCATAATTCAATGCCGTAAAAATACGAGGTCTGTTCATAAAATAATTACATACAGGTTGTATCATTTTATTTTCATATGTTACAATCTATAATAGGACTAGCTTATTTATACTGCGATTACACAATTAAGTTTGTTTTAAATCATTATACAATCAGTCTTTTCTTCAAATTTTCTTGGTATCATTTGATTGCATTTATTTTATAAACATATACTGTATCTTCAAATTTTGTATCTTAAGTTTATATTCTATGGTCACCATATGTCATATGGTCATCATCATATGGTCACATTAATGTATAAAGTTTTATTATAACGGCTTGGGTAATTGGTGCAATGGTATTATTTAAAAGATATTTTTTATACTCATTACATATTTGTCTGTTCCCAATTCGAGGAAATTGTATTTGGATGTAATATCTTTAATAATAGCGTTTAACAACATTTTTAGTCAAGAATTAATATAAAAAGAAACAAATATACACAATAAAGAGACCAAAGATTAATGACATTTTTATACTTCTTCATCATGAATGTGAAGGATGCTTTTATTTTTTTCAGAAATATCACAGATATTATAATATGAACAATCCACTGAAAATTTATCAATACAAATATTTACAATCATTGTAACCTCAACATGTGTACCAGACACCATTATTTTTAGGTAATTTATATATATTAATATTCAGATAAATTTATTAATAATTATATAATACTATTTACATAGTGTACCAGACACGTTCCATACTAATTAATAAATCACATTTTGTAATAAATAATACTTTCTGATATCGATCATCGCTCTATACTACACACTATAGGATAGATCTTATTAGTGTAGAGTAAGATATTCTATTTAGTTAAGCAAATTTGAATTCCAACTCGGTAACCTTTACGTTATCGCCGGTAAATTCTAAATATCGTAAATCGTCCATTTCGTGCAGTTCTAATACTGTCGAAAATGTTTTACTTGTTATTTGCAAGATGTTGTTGTTATGTGTTCTGACATTACTTCGTCTCCTGAACGACACGTTGAATATAGATTCTGAAATGAGATACATTTAGCTCAAAAAATTGGTCATATTTCGCATACCACACATATAAAATACGGTACTGTCGCCTTATAAGGTTTACTATTTGGTCGCTGGAATACTAAACATTTTGTTGCTGAAGTACTATACATTCAACTAAAATATGTTTGAATTACTTTCTTTGCTTAGTGATCTGACGATCCGCGACTTATTCTAGTTGTTTCTTTTTTACCACTCTAGCGATCGAAAACAGTGGGCCTTATTAGGCGACAGTACTTTAATGTAATACTAGGTATAATAGGTAAAGATCTTTGTCATGCGAATTTTTTTATGTAGGTAAGTTATTGGTTATTGTTCGATAATAGTAAAATGTTTCGGAGTAGGCCTCTTGATTACATGATTAGAAAAGACCACAAGTCACGAATTACAGTCGAACTAATCGGCTTTTTAACAGTTGTGCACTGTTTGGTATGGTCGGTTGGATCGACAGTGCCATTACTTCCGTGTCTATTTTGAAAAGTCTCAAAAATATTGTGTCATTATCTTATCTCTGATTTATATAAAATTGATGGTGGCGACCATGATGTCTATTGCGCAAATAATGTACATTTGAGATATTAATAATTGTATTCCTTCGAAAAAAATAATATAGTTTTCCAATCGTTCTTTATTGTTTAAAATGTTAAGTTTTTGTCTACTTTGATCACTGCGCGAGACCCTTGCAAAACGAAGTCTTAAGTTGTTACTATGCACACCATTATATGCTTTGCCATTATGTTCATTGGAATACGCTATGTTGGTGTTATGCACAAAAACAAATTAAGCAACTTACTAGCGTGCTATAAATGTTTGAGTAGCTCGATGACGCAGTGTTTAGCTCAGTCTTTAGTTAGTCACAGGATGAATGACCAAAAATTTATTATTTCGAGCTCCTCCGTGCTTCTAAAGTCACGTTAAGTAGCTGGTCTCGGCTGCATCTGAAGTCGTTAACAGCCACCAATCCGCACTGAGTCCGGGTGGTGGGTCATGGCCCATTCACCCTATTCGATTTGATTTGTTTCTATCCACAGGGAAGGCCTGAGCTCCATTGGTCGGGTCATTAAGAGGCTGATGATGATTGATATCCGTAACATTGGTGATATGCACAGAAAAAAAAATAACTTACTATCATCGTTGCTATAAAAGTGAAGTAAATCTATGTAGTCTTCATCCGGAGGAGATATCCCCTTATCGTCTAAAATTTTTATGATCCCACTTGCAGTATCCGCTATTATAGTGCAAATGACTATTAAAGAATTGTTCGATGTACTGCTCGTGGCTAATAAATTAATTTCGAATCTGTAAATTAGTAATGATCCACTTATTTTACATTCACTTAAAGTAACTAAATATATAAACTCTAAAATCACTGGAATTTTTTTGGAAGAAACAATCAAATTGAATAATAGAATACAACATAGCAAACAATAAGGATTGTATATTTGTCAGTAAATTTGATTAGGTAGCTCCAAATTCAGTGCTAAGAATGTATTAGAAGCTGGCAATCAGTAACTACTATATTAACATTATATTTCATTGTCTCTTTACCATAATCTCAAAAAAAAAACCCTACTTTTTGCGATGGTGCATATGGATCTGGCCTATTTTGGGACATCTTTGCATAGGAATAAGTTTGTTTAAAAAATGTTATTCATGATAGAAACCTTTAAAGGTGCAAATCATAGTAAAGGCAATACAAGTGTAATGTCTGTTCATACTGGGATTGTGTACATAATGTACATACAATTTATCATCCATTATTTGGTTAACAAGATATACAAGCTTTGCTTAGTAATTAACGTGAAAGATGGTCTATATATCTAGGACTAAAATTATTGACAAGAATCACAAATTGGCAATTTGCAGTAATTTTTAATACTTAATACTTGAAATATAAATAATAAATGAACAACGAACAGAACAGTCCTAATTAAATAAATTATAACATACTGTTATTATACTTACGCGGGTGTATTTGAGATTTTTGCTGTAACGTTAATTATGTCATCTACTTTTAACTTCTTCGGCAGTAAATATAGATTGTTCGATTGGGGCCACGAAGGTATTTGGTCCACGTTGTTGGGGTTCCTGTGTTAAGTTGTATATATGAATGAAAGAGTAAAGGGTCATCTTAAAAAACATATATTGTCATATATGTACTTGTTAGCATATGACTGTATTTTGAGAAAATAGATTTATTACTTATTGCTATTGGTCCCTTATGTGTCTTTGGGAAGAAACTACAAACGGTCTCTGTTATAATTAGATTTTACATAATACAAACTATCATTGAAGATGTTTCGCATCATGAATTCTATTACGTATATTAGTCATGCGTGACGGCTTATCAATGCTTCACTAATCTTACATATTTTAATATAATGTAGGTAGGTTCTGTAAATAGTTACACTTTAGAAATAATAGTCTTTTATATATTATATTCCGTTTTGTATGACGTCCTAGTTTCAAAGATGATTTGTTTTAAAAGTATTCGACATTATCTGGTAAGATACGACTGAGACGTGACATTCTTAACCGAATCGCTCGTAAATTTACACTCGTAAATCTTATTTTTAATTAGCGTTTGCAACAATGGGACGCCTGTACAGCTGACAGTCTGTACATCTAATGCGATGTACAATATATTTAGTAGACATTGCGTCTTCAAAACGCTGTTTATTGTAACTACTTATTCAAAGTTAAGGCCAGTGGAGCGTAGAAAGACGAATAAATTTTTCCGCATCTATGGGATGTAATTTTATAGAAAAGACGCAATAAGTACCTATGTTAAGTTAACTTTCCACGCATGTGATTTACCTGTTAAGACAATTACTGTTATGTAAAGCTCACATAAGGCAAAGCCTTGGGTTATAGATAACGTACTAAAGCAATGTCTTAAATCTCTGGCTAAAACAAACAATGGCTCATAGAATTTATTCAAGGACTTGCTTTTAAAACATACGCGTAGGTACCGATAATCATACATAATCTCCTTCTTATCGCTTAAGTTACACATTAAGCCACGTATGACAAGTGTTTGAGTTAAAACTTAATACGTAAGACCAGGAGGTGAAATTATGGCACTGATCGTTGAAACTCGTTTCTTAAATAGTGACAGGTCGAGCAAGCTGTCACATCCCAATGCTTCGTTCTTTCATTCGTTTTTACGACTTACGTGGTATGAGCTGATACATTGTAACTTTCTTCGAGTTGAGTTGATTATGGCAAAATGGTCCTACACATCTTATACAGGACAGTCGTTAAATCGTTTTGAATGATCTCTAATAAATCTTTCGTTGAACTCTGATATTAATTAATTTTCAATAACTTACATTTTACTCAATCCAATCTCAGGTCGTCCCATGGTTTGGATTACACCACACATTATATACATAATCACGACAATCATTTTCGACACAGTCGCACACACCCAGATCATAAAGTTAATTACGTTTTGATTATGTTATGTTATAAGAGGTTCAATTGGACCGTTTAAATGTTGATGTGCATTTCATTGACAGTTCACTTAATAATGAATTGTTCGTGCTTATGTTCTTCCCTTATATCATATAACAAATGTGAATCATGAGGTTGTTGAGTGAGGCTAATGTGACGTTACATTGGTCGATTAAAATATTGGGTATTATATCCTAGAAACTTGACCTACTGCCGTAGTAAATTACGGTGAATAAGAGTTATTTTAAGATATCACTAACATCTTTACCTAGAAAATTAAATGCAAATGAAATGTCTTTTGATACATCTTTATTTTATTTATTAATTCCTTTTATGGTCAAGGAAAATCTTATTTTAAAAGAAATCGTGATACAAATGCAAATGTATGAGTGTAAATTTTATAGTTTATTTTCAGTGATATTTTCCTGTATCTAAATATTTAGACAGTCATCACGATGAAGAGTTATCACGAATGTGGGGAAATTTCGAAAATGTCATTTTTTGTAGTTTCCCACTTTCCTACCGCTATCGCGACAGCTCGAGCGGTCCGTCTATAAATTGTCCACGTATTTATTGAGTTTACGTGTACTTAGGTTTAGAGTTACGTTTTCTTTGTATAGTTCTATGTTTATTTACGTGTATTTCTGGCAACGCCAGACGTTATATACATTTATTGAATTTGTGACGTTTACTAGCAATATGTGTGTTTGTTTATTTATCTTTTATTTTACCAAAATCAACTTTACCAAATTGAATAATAAAAAATTTACCTGATTTGGGGGTAATTCGTCTGTTCAGAATTTCCCCGTTTTCGTTATTACCCCAATGCACCTTAGTTCAATACTAATTAATGTTAGCCATAAAATTAATATGGACTTTCTTTCTATAGGTGAATCAAATGTTTACACTCTGGGGACGATCGGTGCACATAGAGTAGTTACCACTAAGTTGCCTTCTGTGGGCCGGACCAGGGAAGCCATGACTGCCGCCGGTAACACTACCACAAGACTTCTCGGTATCTTCCAGAAGGTAATGATTAATCAGTCTTTATTAATCCATTCTATTATAAGACAAACACTAAGTTTTTTATTCATGCAAGTGATGTCATTTCAAGTAGGTGTAAGATTTTTTATAGTAGTTTGAAGCCTAACCAACAAACAAATAATCTTTACTAATATTTCTCTAGATACTTATCTAGATGCAAAAGTATTATATCCTACTATTTATTTAACTGGATTATGCTGCGGTCATAGAAGTGTGCTCAGAATATAATTTGATCAAGAATTCTATAGAGATTGTCCTCGCGACTGCAACATGTCGAATAATGAGTGAATAATGGTCGTCGTTTAATTTCCAAATAAGTTTTTTTTTTTTATTGCAAACCTATATTTAAACCTAGATTATATATATAATACATAAAGCTTAATATTAACGCTCTTGATTCATTCACCCAATGTGCGCTGATTTTTTGGGCGTCATGCAACTATTCTATAGACTTGAAAAATTAATAAGTATTTTTTTTTTATTGGAGTAACTTAAAGTTAAATTGAAAATACTAATACTGTTGTCTTTTTCGCAGTCTCTGTTTCTTTCTCTCTCTCTTTCTCTCTTTCGTATTGTTGCTCAACCTCTATAATAAATAATGCAATTTGCAGAGTTTTAAATTCAAATCTATTAAAAAATGAAAGCAAACTTTAGTACTCTTTTAATTTATAGTTAAGGTTATACGTAAATACTGTATGCAGTGTCAGTAGTTAAAATTTACAACAAATCTCTCCTTCACTGTCTTTGGTTCTTGAAAAGGTGTAAATGTAAAGCCATTTATATTAATTAGTAATTAATTTATTTTAATTATTTCGCACGCTATTCAAGGGTCGCCATCTCTGAGGTTCGATTCTCTGTCGGACCAATGTAGAAAATGAACTTTTCTTTCTTATCTCGGGTATGGGTGTGTTATAGTACCTTCGTTCTCATTAGTGCAGGGGCTTTAGCTACTCATCTTTAACTATGAGCAATGTATGTGATGTTTTCTAATATTTATTTTAATATTTTAGATAGTATCTAAAACTATAATGTGCAATAGATCATATCCTTATCATATAACAAAACCATGGAAATGAGATGTATAGGCTCAGCGGACGAGTACGTTTAGTTAGAGCAATCTTGGGGTGAAAGGTAAAAAATATCGCTGGAGTTACAAATGTGAAATTTTAAGTGATAAAAAAGGCCAATACAACCCTGGGACTATGACGAATGTCTAAGACAAAACGTTAAATACCAATTTTGTCGCTATTCAAATCCGTTTTCCCACTATAAGCATTTAGACTGTGGCTTTATTATGTCATTGTAGTCGTAGACTAGCAACAAACGACGCGTTGAATTATCAAAGTGACTCAAATGAAGTCCAGTCACTGCCCTGGACACACGTCATGAGGGATTTCCTGATGTCTAGTATTTGTTTGAAACAAATCAGAGTTAACTTTTTAAGTAATTAACCTAGGTAAAACTACACTAGACATGGTTGAAATTGCAATGATTTTAGATTTCATTGTGTTAATCAAATATAATTTTCGTTTTTTTTAATATTTTCTTTTATAGGGTTTTATTCGTCGTTAATGAAAAATATCTGATAAAACATTTTCAAATGTTTTATAACACTATTTGTTATCTTACGTTACATTTTTATGTCATTCTACTTGTGCACCTCAATGAGTTCATGAATATTTCTATGAATCAGTATATCTAGATATCCTAGACCATATAAATACAGAACTTAGCCAACATAATATCATTCAATGTAATAAAATGTGAATTTTATAGAATTGGCCAAACTTGACACGATTAGATAGCGATAGAACTTGAATTAAGAACGCTCCGTTCTGCCTACGCATGAGAATCATTATATTGATCTTATTCTACAAAATTGATATGCTCGTAATTCTATCGAGCCGACTTTATATCAGTTCTATTTCGAACGCAATCGTGAAATAACTATGAGTGCACTGAAACGGTATGCTCTTGGGTTGGTAACGAAAACAGTACCGGCTGGCTAATCTTTAAATAGCTATGAAATATCTTTGACGTGAGTGCTTAGACAAGTTCAATAAACTGCTCCTGATAAATGAGATTAAACATAACACTAAACTAAATATAACTTCCTTTCCGTCAATTTATTGTGAGAAAATTATTACCATAGCTAAGTTAAATCGTTACTGAGTGACATTTGGATGCTGTAAAACAAAAATGGGTTAACCTACAAAGTTGCTTTCGAAGATTTTTATGTATTCCGATAATACCTTAAACACTTACCATTTAGCAAAAGAGCTTTAAGTCACATGAACGAAATAAGTATGGAAAAAAAATATTTTTATCAACAAAACAAATCATTAATACATTCTTAGACGCAATTTTCTCAAAATATTGTCTGTACGGGTTGAAACATTAATGCTCATCAGCGTCTTACATCTCTCGTATTCTCATTTAGTTTTACATCTCTCGTATTCGATAAGTAGGTCCTTATTACCCCCAAATGGAGCTTGTAGGTGACCAATGAGCGCTCTAGGGTAATAATGTAGATAGAAAAGCCATAGGGCGGCAAGTAATAAAAAAAGAAGTCACTCTTTAAAAAGTTCGCGTAGGTACATCTAACCATCATACTGGTAATAGAAATCATGCATTCAGCTCAATAACCTCTTCGCTATTTAGCCTTGTCTTCGTATGAGTATATTAGTCATCAATTTTAAATATCGAACGGGGAAACTAAAAAAAGAGAGAATAGAAAACTTTTACTTTAATATTGTTTGTTTTGGGATTTTTATAATCATGTGCTTATTAGTAAAAAACATGAGTTCTTCAAGTGATGAAGATACAAGCTGCCCTCCCGATTCAATGAGAATGGAAGCTGAAGCATCAATTAACAATAATTTGCCTGAAACTTCTAAAGAGAGATATTTGAAAATGAAACATCTTTCTAAAGAGATGATCCGCAACCATCAACTTCTCCTGAATAAAGCTTCATCCCGTCATATTTCATCCATGATCAACAAATATCACAATCTCAAATTATTAACATACCCAAAAATACCTTTCCTTTAAATATGAAAATTGTTCTCATTTCACTATAAATTTTAACTGATATTTTTTTTTCTCTTTATTTTGGTACAAACAGTCATTACAATAAAGTGACATGAAATTTCATATTTAAACTTAAAAGGCAAATAGTAACCAGAATTTGGTACTATTGTCGGTTTTTTTCTACTTACCTCACAATCGAGATGTAAAGCAGAGCAATTAGTTCAGGTATAAACATGAAAATGCACCCTCGAACTAAACATATCGGGCTGCAATTGATGCCTTACAACCCTTGGCTACTAATCCTAATACTAAGTGAATACGAGTAAAGAACAATTAAGTTTTTAAAAAAGCAACTTGTTCAACTCAAAATCCTTATCGATTGCATATCGAGCCAAATGCCCAATATTGAGCTCTTAGTTCCCTTTACGGAATCCTTATAAAATATATACTAATACTTTACTAAAGGCTTCATTTAACACTTAAAAACTGATCTTTTTGCATATGACGTCTTCAGTCACATATATTTCTTATTATATTTGATAAATTTTGCATAAATAATGCTGTACTGAAAAATATTGATAAGTAACGAGTGCTTGAAAAATGCATCAGTCCTGCTAGATCCTGGGCACCTCAGTAGATAGAGCAGTCACCCGGATTGCGAAAGTTTATTGGTTCGAGTCAAGTGAATTTTTTAAGCATATTTCATTGAGAATAAATATTTCTTTCATATTTCGTATACTTCAGTTAAAGAGTTTGTATGTCTTGTATATGTATGTGTAACTTCCAAAAATAATTTATCTATCGTGAAAGATGGGTTTTGGCCATATCTCTGAAGATCATCTTTATCATTAGATACATATTCTATAATTGGAATGTTTGAGCCCAAAATATTAACTTTTTGCAAACATTATTTTTTCATAAGTTATGTTTTTTTTTTAAACTACTAACTACATAGATTCTTGCATTCTTGATAAATGATATTAACCTGACCTTTGACCGGTCTGATGTGAGTAATAAATTGAGGTCAAATCAGTTTAGCACGATGCTTGGAATTATTAGTGACGTATGAACGACGCGCCTGAAATTATGTGCAGTCAAGAGTTATACACGTAAGAATTTTCTTGACTTAGATTTTACGGAATTACTAGGATAGTGTTTTACTCAGTAACTCCGTGAGCATGGCGCTTGAAACAGCGCTAAAATTTCTGGGACTCGATAAATATAACGACAATTTGATGTCACATAGTGCTGGTAAAAATAATATAGATTTTTATTCGGAAAAATAATAATAGCATTAGGCCATCTGTTATTATAGAAACTTTTTTACAGGTGGAGTATGTGTTCCTTGTTGGTGTAGGAGGAGGCGTGCCACATTATACAGACTACGCGAAACACGTACGATTAGGAGACGTGGTAGTTTCTACTCCAGCGCCTGATGTACCCGATAAGTATGTTGAATTGATTACTTGTGTTCCTATCAGGCTGCCGAAAGAGGGGAACTTTGTTTCGAGTGTATGTCTATGTTATCGATTTCATCGATCCTTTGTGGTATCATCTATATACAGATATGAATGTTTTTAAAATAGTTTCTTTATTGTGTTAACGACCTTTTTATAGTTATGTATTTAAAATTATATTGCTTTTTTAAATTGGGTTATCATTTTATTTGATACTTTCAGTTTATTTTTTATGGGTTACAAAAAAACTACTTTCGACAAGTTTGGTAATACACCCTAACAAATAAAAAAATTGATAATATTCAGGATCAAAATATTATGCAACATAAACCTTTTATACAAGAATTTACAAAATATATTTAAAAAGATATTTTTCAACAAACTTTAGCATATTGATATACAAAAAAAAATGTGTCCATTAAGCAATAACCGTCTTTAACCATAAAAATTTAAAAGATTTGGTAATAAGAATTACAAGCGTTTGTACCAATAACTTCCTCTCGAAATAAATTGATTATTAATGAATAAATTGTATTATTTTCATGTAATTTTAATCGTGTTTATTATGCTTATAAGGTAACAAACACTATAGGGATTTCATTCATAAGTATTTCATTCACATGTGAATCATTCAGAGTTAAATTTAATGGGAAAATAATAAATAACAACGTGTTTAACGTAAGAGGTTTTACAGTTAATTATAACTAATAATAGGTCGCGGTCACGCGATAATTATTACTTAATTGTTACAGTATTACTTAAAAGTCTTCTTTATCAAATTAATAAAGCATTGGTTAGCGCTTATCATAACGTTGAAATTAATAAATGTTATAAATTTTGTCAAGTTTTAAATAAATAAGTGCGAAGTAGCAGTAGTTGTGTTTGTTAAAATAAAAAATAATTAGGACCAGATAATACAAGTGCCTATCGCAATATTGCAATTACCATTAAGTAATTTTTAAAATACAATATATATATATATATATATATATATATATATATATATATATATATATATATATATATATATATATCTATATACTCGCGATCGCTCGGTTTTGTTTTTTTAATAAATATTTATATTTTTAAACTTTTATAGTAATAAAGTAATTCAATTCCTTGGGCATTATTAAGTAAACAGATAAGGTCGAACGGATTGTTTACAGTATCTGTAAACTTAAACTCGACTTCTTCGACCAACAATACAACTTGTGAAATTGCGCTAAACCCTTTAAGCATTCCAAAATATAGTATTTTGGGTCTATATCTTCGCTAAAGGGTTTGGCGAAGATATACACTTGAAATACTTATTCTACTCGAGTAATTGGGCAAATTAATATGTTTTAGACATATTTTATAACAATTATATGTTATTTACCTACTGGTATAAAACAATATAGCAATAGAACTAATAATTTTCTTTTGTATATTTTAGATACGTCTATATATTCTGCGAAAAAGCAGAGCGTAACGATAAAGGCGGCTGGGACTACGAGGTGAAACCTTACAAGCCTCCGAACTATTTGCTTCAAGAGATAGCGCTGCGCCTAACAAATTCACATACTACACCATGGAACACATACATCGAAGAAGGTACACTTTATTATAATACTACGTTTAACCGCTGCCCATTCAGTCCCTGCTGCTGGCGGTGCCGGCAATATTTACTTATTTTTTGGTAACGCAGAAGAAATGTATCTTAAGCTTTAAACAACCGCCCTGTCCTGAAAAGGAGAAATTGAAGTGTGGTTGGCCTACCTGGTTAAACCAGCTGCGGAACAACCTTGGCGGGGAAAGATCTGGGAGCTTATGCAGTAAATAGATTTTTATAAACGCCATTCGTCATTTTTAGAATAGTAGTAAGTGAGTAAATAGTAAATATAGCAGGAATTTATATTTTTAGAGTTACAATTAGAAATAGTGTAATTTTATACAATAATACATCTATGCTGCATATTTGGATGCAAGAAGGAAAGGTATCAGTCATTTCCAAAAGGCAGAATGTTCGAAAAGTTTTTTTGTTTATAACATATTGCCGCCGGTAGTGCCGCCGCCTATCCCTGCATGTTAGACGGCCACTTAGAAACCCTTGTACCGAGCTGGCTGAAAGCTGGTATTCGAGGGGGGAAACTAGTACTCCTGTGCTCCGCTCTGGCGCTGCCAATTCTGGGAGACAAACTGTGGGAAATCGCATCTCAGTAAAAAAAAATGCACATTTCAATTTCGTATACCGTTAATAGAGGGCAGTAATTATCGAACACACGGAAGAAATATCACTTTTAACATTTTTTTTTGATATTATATTGCATATCGGATATAATATGTAAAATATATTGAAAAAAATAAATAAATGATTTGTAACGAAGATTTACAATGATTTGAAGTTTAGGGCGCAAAAAAAATACCGTGCAGGAATCGAACCCGGGGCCCCGTGAACGTGAGCGCAACGCGTTACCATTACGCTATCTAACATATTGGTAAAATAGCGGCGGAAAATGTTAACTGCTTATCGAAACAGCTTTAATATAATAAAGTTTTATGACATTAAGGAAATCGTGTAGTTAGTTAAGTTTGAACAGCGGGTAGTGTCCGCATAGTAGTATAGTTCTTCTGCTAAACAAACATAAACCTGAACCAGCACGCGTTATCTTGTTACCGTCTCCATTCATTTTTCTATCATATGACATTGTTTTTTTTTTTAGTTTAAATAACCTAAGATCTGTGTTACACAAAGAGCTGTGCAGAGCATTTTTCCACTATCAAATCATTATCATCTTTGTCAACGTTGAAATAAGATGTAATACATCATAAGTCCGGTATACGCTTCGATGCTCCAGGGCTCATGGATCTTATTTCAAAGCGTGTAAAGACAATATAACGCTTTGTCAATGAAAAATGCTTTGCAATGCGGTTTGCCCTATGTGTTTTATACGCGTCTTTTTTACCTTTATTTTGACAGCTAAGAACAGTTTCTTTTATATTAATGTTGCCTTAATTATTAAATACTATTTATCTCAAATCTAAACTCAACATTAAAAACGATTATGAGTTCGACTCATTGTTTAATGACGTCCTGATCCTGAGGTTCAAAAACCGCATACACAGTGTCAGTTTAAACACGTAATATTACCCTAAATGGACATTCGGCTACCACTAATAATGAGATACGAGGGTCAAACTGAAAGTTCTTAGAACTGGCCACTTATAAACAATATAATAAAAAAATAATTCTAAAATTTGAAAATATAACTCTTTGCCAATATTACTGAGTATATATTTCATTCATTTGTCATTTGTTTTACGATTTGGCGGCAAATTGAAAATTGTCTGTGTCACGTCATCATGAATTTAACACGAGAAAATTTTCGTGCAATGATTTTTTATGACTTTCGAAGTCATTTAAGTCAACAAGAAAGTTATGATAGACTACGATTGGCCTTTCACGATGAAGCCCCATCTCGTGCGACTGTTTACAACTGGTTTAATGAGTTTAAACGTGGTCGCACTAATCTCACTGATGATTTACGTGAGGGACGGCCTTCTACGGCGACGACTGAAGATAACATCTGTGTTGTGCGGCGTATGATAGAGACTGACAAAAGAGTGACCTATCAACAGATTCGGACAAGCTTAGGCATCGGTATGAGTCAAGTGCACAAAATCCTCCACGAATATTTAGCGGTCAGGAAGCTTTGCGCCCGGTGGATACCTCATAATTTGACTGAGGCTCAAAAACTCCATCGTGTGGATTGGTGTCGTAAAATGATTGAAAGATTTAACGGAGGTGACTCAAATGCTGTGTTCGACATACTAACAGGTGACGAAAGCTGGATTTACTGTTATGATCCTAAAACCAAAAGACAATCTGCTCAGTGGGTGTTTCCTTTCGAGGAGTTGCCAACTAAAGTGAAGAGAGATCGAAGTGCGGGAAAAAAAATGGTGGCCTCGTTCTTTGGAAGGATAGGTCATTTTGCAACAATTGTGTTAGAGGATCAAAAAACAGTTTCTGCAGAATGGTACACTACCAATTGTTTGCCACTTGTCTTGGAAAAAGTTCGAGAGAAACGACCTCGCAGTAGGATCCTCCTTCACCACGACAACGCCTCGTCGCACACCGCCAAGCGAACGATCGACTATTTGGCGACATCAAACGTTGAATTACTGGGTCACCCGCCGTATAGCCCCGACCTCGCGCCTTGTGATTTTTATTTATTTCCAAAAATTAAAGAAAAACTTAAAGGAAAGCGGTTTATGAATGCTGAAGAAGCGGTGGCTGCGTATCGCGATGCCATTGAAGAGACCCCTAAGGACGAGTGGGCAAAGTGCTTTTCCCAGTGGTTCCATCGCATGCAGCGGTGTATTGACGTGAATGGACAATATTTTGAAAAGATATAATAAAACTAATAACTGGCTAATGTAATCAGTTTTTGATTTTCTAAGAACTTTCAGTTTGACCCTCGTAATAACCTGCTTTAGTATTATTTTACTAGTTTTAATAGACTTTGAAAAATACCCGGAGGGATCCATTATACTAATAATAAAAATAAAAAAGTATACGAATCCAATGGCCTAATAGTATAATTTTTTAAATCTATCACAATTGCTTTCGGAACGAATAATGATTTGAATGATATATAATGTCATAAATAATTCATTTCGTTTTGGTATTATTTTCGATCTTATTTCGACTAAAGCATAAAAATATCTTATTCGCATAAATAAAATAATAGAATGTTATATCATTTCATACTTTTAACACACTCAAAGTTTTATTTTAACAAAAAAACATACACAAAACCATTGCATCGTACTAACAAAATACTGTTTGTCAGCTCGCCGAGGGATGAATTGATACGAGTAAATAGAAATACTTACTACCAAAACTATAATAAATCCCGAAACATAATAAAACCATACATAAACTGTGGAAAGATTGCAGTTAGTATTTGACTCTTTCATTATCATTATCCAATAGCTTTTTAAAGTATTTGTTACTATCAATGTACTTAGACGATTCCAATGAATGAAAAATAAAGATGTATTATTATATTATAATTATTAATTTACCTCAAATGGACGTTATCATTTATTCAATATCTTTCAAAAACACGTCGCGATCGCAATTGTTTTAACATGTCAAAAAGTTGTAGCGTGAAGTTCGCGAAAGTTTTTCAAATTTCAAATTCAAAGTGAACAGGTATTTGTACGCGATTTAACGCCTGTTAAAATATCAAACTTTCATACTTTAGGTGCTGTGGTATTTAACCTTCCCATTTTTCGGTATTTTTACCAATATGGAGTCTGTGTTACCGGAATGCTACAATTTTTTTCCACGATTACAGAGAGTACATCGACATTATCCCGATTTTCTGTCACAACATGGCTTACCACCAAACGAGTTCAAACGCTAATAAATTCTCAAACGGGTGCGAGTCCAAATCGTGACTTAACGGTCCAGTACTACTATTAAATATTAATATTTTATCATCATAAACAAGATTTTATGTATCGTGAATAATTAATAAAACGATGCTTATTGCCAAATTGTATGTCAATGGGAGGTAACCCCTATCAATTTTGATTATCTTGATGATGTTGAAATATTGTTTTTTCATGTTTAATTCAGTACTTGTAATTATTTATAATTGTAATAAAGTAAAAATAAATAATTTCTAAGTTGGCCACCCTCATTTGAGTTTTACATTACGGGGAATCCCTCAATAACATTATGAATAAGTTTCATATATTTTGAGGAATACCCTTATTGTTGATGAAAACTAATATCATAATAGCATAATATCATAGTCTATGAATATCGCTTTTGTATTGACGTCAATGAAATTTATTCAAATCAAATTAATTTTATATTTCCCTGCAGAAGTTTATGTTTTGTTCGTCCATTCGTATCGTTTTGTTTATGAAAAATTTACAAAAAATATTTTTTAATTACGCGCCGAAACACTATGGTCCTGTCATTGTCTGTACAAAATAACCGAACATAGTCTGTCGAAGAAATTTCCTGATGGTTATTATATAACAGTAAATGTTAAAAAAAGTATATTTATTACTTGCTAAGTACACCTTTCACAAATTTTGTGATGCCTAATTTTATCTTAAAAGTTTCTGCATGTTGCCAAAATTGCAACGCATGCAAAGTTCTTCTTTCTCCATGACATTTTTTATGCAGTTATTATATAGTTGAATAAAAAAATTGTGTTTAATTTGACCAAATTTTTCTGGTAACCCTGAAAATAATTGCAAGTTATGACGTCACCTATCATGAGTGAGCTTTGACACGTGATTATGACATCAAAATCATTATTTATTTATATAAAAGTTTAAAATAAATAAGAAATTATATTCCAAACTACATCACATCGTTTCGGTACTAGAGTCCAAAAGCCTATTAAAATAATCTCTTGCGACAGAAAAAGTCTCTTAATTTGAATATTCTCGGTAATGGGGAAGGCAATTGCCAAAATGGTAGCTTCATCCTAAAAGATATTAAAATACGAAAAGAAATAAAATAACTGTCTCGGCTGTTAGTCGGTGAAAGTTTCTTCAACGCCATCTCGTAGTTTTAAGAACTATGTAAATTTATTAAGGCTTACGGGTGTGCTTGACTTGATCTATGTGGCTCTGATGATACATTTCATGATCGATTGCTTGTATCTTTTTTTGTGCTTATTTTACTGTCTGGGCTATACGAAAAGAAAATAAACTACGATAACGCCATCTCCATAAAACACGAATTCCAATTTATTTGGTGATTCCTTTTTTTGGTTATCTTATGCATTTTAAGTTTTCCCACTTTTTGGGGAAAAACGTAGCTTTAATGCCTATTATGGAATTGATATGACGTCAGTAATCAGTTGAAGCGACCGTGGGGCGACCCGATGAATAGCACAATATTTTCATTTATCCTCGTTTAGTTCCAAAACGAATTATAGTCACTGAACAATATAAATGACGACGATCCAACTCGAAATTTCGCCATATAAGTCTTTAATACTTATATTTATTTTTGTAGCGTACATCCAATACAGACAAGACAGTCTTAAATATCAAATTTAAATAAAACATAATAAACAATTTTACGTTACCTTTTTGTTATTATGTGTATTTAATTTTGCAATAATAAATGAGAAAAATATAAAGGTTACGAAGAATATGCTGTATATCACGGGTTGCCAGACTTATTTCGTTTACTGCCCACTTTTAATAAAATATTTTTTGGCGTCTTGTATATTTTTTCCGTTATTGTGAGCTATAGCTATTAGCGGAGATTAAACATTCATTCTAAACAATACTTTTACTATAACCCGCAAGAGTTAACTAGAGATTTGAGCGCAGTAGGTAGTATACAAGTCTCTTATTAAGCCTCTACACAACGCCCTCATTTATATTTCTGGCTCTCGTACTGCCCCTTTTTAGGCCTGCAGCGCCCACGAGGGGCTTTATTGCCCACTTTGGGAAAGGCTGCTGTATATTGTAATCCTGATATCTGAATGTACTAGACCACATTCTGTGAAATAAGTATTATGATTATTATTAAAAAATAATTATAAAAATATTTTCTTTTTAATATTTTCAGGATTACAGCGATTGCTTGGAGTCCCCGGACGATGGGAAGCACCGGAGGGTGTCACCGATCGCCTCACCGTGGACGTCGGCGAGGGCGCATTCATTGAAGTGTCTCATCCTGCACCGCAAGGCGATCAGGTGTAAGTTACCTTACTCATACAATTTTAGTGGTTTAGCATATCCTTTAAATAGGATTTATAAAACAAATAGGAAAACCCCTCCTTAAGTTACATTTATCTAATGATAGATTACTTAAACACTGATGATGGAGTAAACGTCCACTTGGAAGATTACTCCGAAATCCCGTTTCACGTTCACAGATCAAAAAAGAAGTATTGGGTGAGGACAAAACGTTCATCTATAGTTCGAACCAATATCGCCAATTTATACCCCTTGTCAATGTATTACTATTTTAGGAAAAATGTTTTAGTATATGATATATATTATTAATATTATAAATGTGAAAGTTTCTTTGTTTGGATGTTTGTCGGTCAATCACGCCGAAAGTAATGAACGGATTTCGATGTAATTTCGTATACAGATAGGAACTACATATAGGACATTCTCATTAGTTTAAAGTGACATTACCTGTACAAATTTGACATTCATTAGTGCTTAAAGGTGGAATTAAACCTTAATGGATGTTTGTGCAACTGACCGTTAGATAATTTATTTATCCCACTAATCATTTCCCTAGGGACCACGCGGGCGAAGCCGCTGGCGAAAGCTAGTTTAGTATAAAAATACCAATGTTCTAAATAACTTCTATACATATTTGCTTCCTGCTGTCGGTATGCTGATCTTTTGAACTACACAATGGATTTTAGTGAGAATTTCATCAATATACAGTGTGATTCAAGAATAAAGTTTATATAAATGATACAGGATCACGAGAGCGAAGACGTATGCGGAAAGCTATTTTTTATAATTTTTTTAATTCATAAATCTCCATAACTTGAATTTTTCTTTTTAAACATATTTATTCACATAAAATTTACAATAGATCTTTAAGGCTGCTTCATTACACATGTTACATATTTATCACGGTGTTTTCTAATCCGCGAAATGGTGACTTGAGTCGTGTTGAGATAAAGACAGACCCAGTCCCCGGGTCGCGGGAAGGAAAAAAATGGTAGGTGAGAACATGGAAGAAATAAGGCGTAAAAAAGGTGTAGGTAGAAGTAAGGTACACGACGGTGAAAAGAATGAGGGAAGAAGTTGGTTCAGCGGGTGCGCCCCTCCCAAGTGCAACGTAGCGATGTTATTGCGATATTTCGTTTCATTTTACTATTTAATTTACTACTGATGTGAACATGACGTTATTTAGTCGATGGCCGATTCAAAAGAAACGCCTAGTACATTGGCATTTGTAATACAAGTCCCGTAAATTGCTAATGCGCTGGAAGCTTGTCTAAATAACGCCCGCGCATTTATGAATAACCCCCAAAATATTGTTAAAATAATTTAATAACTTTTAGTTTGTATATATTGCATAAATTTTTTGTAAAACGTCATTTTATATGTAAATATATATATTATATGTAAATATATATATTATATGTAAATAAGGAATATGGAAAATAAATAAAAATGTCAAAAATAATATTTACTTTATACCATCGCGAAAACAAACGGAAAATCATTTTTTTTAAACAGCCAAAAGTAATAATAAACTGAGAGACATTGGTTATATTTATTTTTAGTGAAATAAGGTTTACTTGTTGTGAAAATCAGAATAGCCGTTAACAAATAACAACAAAACCTAACAATAACAATCGAAAACAACAAAGATTGTGTGTGATCTCAACACAACCCAACTCAATAAGTAGACTCGTCAACCAGTGTTTATTTGTTAACGGTACTGATCGTTCAACGCAATTACGTCACCAAAATGGTGACCAGGCGCACTAGCAGTTGCGGTTATTATAATACGTATACGTATGTGGTTAGTGATCGCGCGAACGGTCGGCGGGTTCACTGCGCGCCGGTAGCGGGGGGGCGCGCGGTGGCGGGGGCGGGGGAGGCGCGCGCCGCGTTCGCCGCGTACGCGCGCGCACTCGCGTACGACTGCGAACTGGACGCGGTACTAGACAGCGTCGTCGGCAACAGGAAGGATTGCTTCATATCTGTCAGAGGTGAGCTAACGACCGCACCTGTTGGCTAATTGCCCAATTTTAAAATCGCGATCACTTCAAGAGGTATAGCGATTGTGATAACAATTTATTTAGCTATGTAACTTATAAAGTGTAGCTAGATAAAGTTCAGCCAACTAATTAACAGAAATCATCGCCATCTTTCATTCATTTCATTTTCATTTTACATGTAAAAATTAATTTATTTACTTGACATTGGCAGAATTGTGCGAAATGCGCAGATAAGCCATTAATTATATACTCTTTATTGCACAAAAAACAAAGTCAACATTACAATTGTATGTAAATCACAAGCAAGGGTGGGCTTATCTCTATAAGAGATCTCTTCCAGCCAACCAGGCGGTGTGGGAGATCAAGCAGTAACGGGAGACTGACAAGTGCATAATTGTTAAATTTGATGTGAATGAATATTAACATTAATACATATAGGCAAAAAAAAAAACAAATAATACAAAAAAAAAAGAAGAACTAATTAACTGTCAACTCACCGGGAACACCGATATTTATTGGTAGAATAAGAAGTAAAACAAAATATTTATTGTAGTGGGTAATTTTATATAAAACTCCTTGTTACGATCTGTAATTAATACAGAAACAGGAGTGATCAAATAGATAATAACAAACTGTTTATTCGCGACTGGTGTTAATGGTCCGTATGATCCAATACAGTAAACTAACGTACTCATTCGGAAGTCGGTGTTAAGCTTAAGCTTTCATAACAAACTCTTAATACTAATACTCCACAGACAAGATATACGGCGATTCAGACGGCCACAACGCCATCTATCGAAAGCAGACTAAGGAATGAATTTGACTGCAATTGTTTTTGTATTTGATTACGATTTCGAAGTTTGGTGCTACAATAGTTAATACATAACAACATAAAATGAAAAACAACGAATTTATTTTAGTCCTGTAGATCACGTGGTAGGTTAAAATTTCGAGGTCATTTTTATTTACAAAAAAAATGTTGTTAGAGTCTGGCAAGCGAAACGTGTCACAAGAAAAGGGCGGCAATTTCAAAAATTCTTAAGCAGTAAACACTGAATGTAGTACTGCAAAATAATTTTGATACTTTTATTAATTATATTTAATCTTAACATTTAGATATCAATTAAAATTATTTGTTTTGGAACATTTGACTAAAGCGTGACTGTTCTTAATTGTACAGTTAACAGCATATCAGTAGGCCTATTCACTAACTCAACTGACAACCAAGAATCGTCATCACCGTAAAAAATAGACACTTTGATTGTGTCAAAATCACTATTTCGTATTCTCTATCAATGATGAGCAATTTCGAAATGTCAATATCGGCATTCTCCACTGGACTCCATTTTGACACTTGATTTCGTATCGATAAACTGTATTAAAGTAACATTGTTGCAAAGCATATTTGAAGTCGTCGCATAGTACCTCTTAAGCCATTTGTTGTTAAATTAAAGCGAAAAAAAATACGTATCCAATATTTTTCTATTATCTGACTGACGGACTAAATCGAATCTTTTTTTTAACCCATTCGTTATACCTATTGGCTAACAGCACTTATAATATTAAAAATTCATATTTGTCATTAATTAAAAGGGTGTTTTTTGCAACGACTTCTTTGTTTTTTTGTAATGAATATGGGCGACTCTGGCCACATTTTTTTAATAAATGTGATGTTAGCCAATTTTGATTTCTGGCCCTTATATTTATAATGTGTTCATAACACATACATGTCTCCTAAGGGATTTTCATCACAACCTTTTGCTCTGATCCAGAACCACTATCTATCAAATTAAATTAGTCAATATAAACACCAGATTACAATAAAAAAAACATTTATTTTTGTTACAATTAAGTGCCATGGATAAATTACATAATACAGGTGTCACAAAATCATCATGTTAATCACAATAGAAAATTTAAGATAAGATTTTGACTATGAATCAGACTAAAAATACTTTAGTCTGATTCATAGTCAAAATCTGTTTCTAAATATTCTACACCTGATAACAATGACAAGGAATCATCAGAGTCACTCTCTTCACTACTGTCTGCACCAACAGATATAATAAATTTTTCAAGTTCGTTTTCAACAATGCCATCTTTTAATTTGTAATCATTTTCGACATTTAAAACATGATCAGTGTATTTCTTCCAGTCACTAGGGGTAATTAAGTTAAAACACTCTATTATTAAGTTTTCCATTTCCTTTCCTGGTATTCCAATGTTTCTGCTTGCAATTTTTCTTTTTGCTTGACTCCAAACCATCTCTATTGGGTTTAAGTCACAATGATACGGTGGCAGCAATAAAAGTTCATGATTATGTTCTTTTAAAATCTCTTCAGCTTCATATACAGGCAATGTTTTCTTATCATTAACCAAACACATTAACTCTGCCTTTGTCTGATATTCCTCAAAATGTATTCCATTATTTACAAGCCATTTACGGATATCTGCTTTGGTATTAGACATTATAGGCGGTTTATTGATTTGTTTTATATGGTAGCTGGCATTATCCATAACAATTACACTGGGCTTACTTAAATTTGGTATTAATTTTTCTCTGACCCATTTCATAAAGTTCGATGAGTTCATATCATCATGATAATCAGCAGATTTGGATTTACTACTGAACACTAATAATGCACCAGGCACAAAACCTTCCTCAGATCCAGCATGCACAACAATATGCCGTTTTCCAGAGGATATCTTTGTAGTGACACCAGTTGTTGAAGGTCCTTGCCAAGACTTTTTAACTTTATAATTCTGATGTACATAAGTTTCATCAAGGTACACAATTTGCTTTCCTTCGTTTAGTTTTATATTTATTTCTCTCAAATACTTGTGCCTCCATGCAGAAATCTGGTATTTTTCTATAAGCATAGAACGTTCATTTTCATTGCTTTTAAAAGAAAATCCATTCTTAAGCATAATTTTTCGTAAAGTCTCACGGCTACCACTGAATCCTATTGCATCTTTTAATTCATTGTGAAGGCTTCTTAATGTTGGAACAATTTTTTTCACACAGTAAAATTCATTTACTTTATTCCGAATTGCACTTAAATCAAAATTATCTAAAGCAGACACTGTTGGTTGATGAGGTCGTTTTTTCCCAGGAGTGTCCCATTTTCCTTTATTAATTAATGCTTCATTTTTTATCCTTCTTAGTGTCCTTATACTTACATCTATAAAAGATTAAACACTTTGAAACAAAGATATGTTAAATGTATTTAAAAGCAAATAATGATAGACACATACATCAAAATAATTTAAATACCTATTCAACTATGAATGCAATTTATGTTTAATTTAGTTAAGTTTATGTGCATATTTAGCATGTATAACAATTACATGGTTTGATTAGTTTCATGAATTCTGTGAATTTCCTTGTTAAACAAAACATTCTTATGACATCATTGGATGTCAACAATAAAAACCAATACATCATAAAAAACCTATGTAAATATTATAGGAATACTATCAATCTATCTTAAATCAAAACAAGAAAAGAGACCTGTCATTGAAGAAATTTTTTGTAAGTACTGCGTTTCCGAATTCAGCATTTCTTGTTTTTCTAAAGTTTTTATTGCATTTATCTCCTCCATTATTGGTTGAATATCACCATCACAGTTATCTGAAATAGAGCAATATTTTATAAAAAATATCTGTTTAGTTAATTACAGAAAATTAAAACGAAAGTATCAAAATTATAATACAAAACTAACCTAAAAAAGATACAACTTTATCTAATCGTTGTAATTTCTCCATGAAATTTTTATTTAATTCAGTTTTCACTTCAGTAAACTTGTCAATCATGATGGAAAGAAGTTTCCTCGATGAACTTTTTATCGGCTTCGACATAATTTTTAACCAAAAACACAAGTTCAAATTCGCAAAAACAACAAAATTCAATATTCTTGAATTGTCTAACGTAGTGTCAAACTGACAGTTCTATGTTGTTGCCATATGAAAACGGAAAAATAGGTGGTGTCACGTTTCGCTTGCCAAACTCTAGCATGTCAAATTGTTGTAGCATAAATTCGTGAATATCTTTCAAACGTCAGATTGAACGGGATAGATTTTAAAATTAGATAATTAGGTCTCTGGTCTTTTTGTTAACTGTAAAAATTGACCATTGATATAGAGAAATTTGAAATACTTTAGTCTTAAGCATGTATTATTGATTCGTAGGAATCTCCGATTACCGTGACGGTACTCGGGGCAAGGAGTGGCAACCGCACGCGTCGCTCGCAGCCGCCGCTGTAATGAAAGCTATCATCTCCGCCATGGATCCGCCTACTGATTAAACGAAACATATTTACACATGGGCTGTCAAAATAACCTATATAATGCATACTTGATTGAAATACCCAAACCTCAATAATAAACAGACAATAATCATGAAAAAGTATGGTCAGCACCATAAGATGCAGTCCGTTTTTATACTAAATCTAGTTTTTATTTTCTGAAGTTTTTTTTATACTGAATAGTACACAAATGACGTGATATGAAAGTAGAGTTCAAGGTATTCAGAACAAACTACTGGCATAAGTAGCATTATTTACCGAGGTGTTGTTTATAACACATGTTGATTAGCATCTTTGAGTTACCGTTACAACTGAAGTGTTTTTGCAGAGCAACTATTTTAATGCAATCTACACAGTGGCGGACTAAGGGGTGGGAGGAAGGGGGCGTCCGCTCCGGGCCTTTTGTCCTGTGGGGGCCTCCAAATGGCTGCAAGTTCCCTTGGTCAAATCGTAAATTAGGATTGTACAGCCTATCTTTCTAAGTTTTAGTATGCGTCTTAGTAGGAGGGGCGTGTAAATGCAATATCAAGAGGTTCGAGCCTGATGCCGCCCTAGGCCCCCGACGAGGTTAGTCAGCTACTGAATCTACATTGCTCTCTAGTGTTTTAAATACAAATTCATTAATTTATATGTATAATTAACAAATATCCGAGACAGTAGTGTTCCCAAATATATTATTAAGATAATAGTTAACAAATTATATTAGGATTTTGCAGATTATCGACGGCCCTAATTACCTTATCTGCCTTATTTACTTAAGCACTTGATATTTATAAAACTATTATACTATTTTATCGAGCATTATTAGCGTTCAAGTAGAATTAAACGAATGTTGTTATAGAACCAAATATAAAATAAACCTCACACACGAAGTAGAAATACTGCCATTTATTATTAGGTGTATCTTCCAATATATTGTTATATTTATCACAATTTAAATGACGGACGGTCACAAAGAGTATCAAATCTAGTAATCGTTACTTATGAAGTAATGAATTCACAGGTTTACTTGCCTTAAAGTTGGCTGTTAATATTTATTATAGTAGTTATTTTATCTCAAAGATGTATTTACATTAAAGTCGTAGATATCGGAGCATTATAGTGAGATGCAACCTTTAACAAAATATCAAACTTCAGAGGTTTAAACTAAAAGCTTTGTGGCTATTCACTTGTGTCAAAACAAGTCTTCCCTGTTTGAATCATAAATTGTAACATTTCAAATAAGTGACAAAAGTAAAGATAATGATTAACGATTTTGATTATATTTTAATGACATTCCGTATCGTATGATTGAATGAATTAGCTTAAATATCATATTTTAGCGCTTGTAAGAAATTTAACTAGTATATGTTTCATTTTATGACCATGTAGTTGCCAAAATGTTTGTGATTTTATCTAAATAAAGGGTATTTTTACACATTTCATTAAGTCGTTAAAATGAAACGTTTATTTAACTATTTACATTGTATTAGACGTAATTATAATTTTTTAAAGCAGTGCAACTTAAATGTGGAATAATTATCAAATAATTTGGCTCCGATATTTAAAAAAGTAATGTATTTCAAATGACCAAAATAAATTATAAATTAACTGGCCTATCTTATAGTCTCATAAAAGAAGTCCCTAGAATCACAATGTTTTCGCTTTTATTACAAAGGAATAAGAGTTATGCTGCTGGACTTCTTTCGTGAGACAGACTACTTATGTAGTTTAGGTGTATTTTTTATTAGTAATGTTAATCTGTCATGTCACTGCCACAAATGGCCTATTTATTGTTAGTATAATATGAAAACTGTTGTGAAGTAAATTAAAAACCAAAGTTTAGACTGTTGGTAGTTTTTTTGAACACCAGTCTAGTCGCCAGAATTGTGAATTTTGTTAAAACAAATATATTTATTATATCATTTTAATTTAAGAATCACTTATGTTATAATTTCACATAGTTTTATCTCAAATATTAGATCTTCATAATAAGAAATAAAAATATTTGTATTCTTTGTTTTCAAACATACAATTTAACTGCTTTTCATGTTTTAATTGATAGATATTGATAGCAATAATTGTTATTTAATACACATAGTTGTAGTTTATTTTATGTATATTTGAATTATTGTAATTGCTTTTTTGTATTATTACATTTTAGTGCACAAATAAATTATATTAATCTTATTTGTCTTTTAAATCATAAAAATGCATTTCCTATATTACATAAACAGTGCTATAACATATGAATACGGCGATAATAATACGAGTTATTAAAATTAAAGGAAATTTTAATGGTCATAAAACATTGGTAATTGAGTATTTATACTGTTTTAAATGCTGATAAACGATTTGGTTGGTAGTGAAAAGTATTTCTATCTATACATATCAATCAATTGTTATTCGTTGGTCTCGCTAAAACCCGAGAACGACTGGGCAGATTTATCTGATTTTAGATTTGTATGTTTGTCGTAGTTCAAGGAAGGTTTAAATGGTAAGATGTGATATGGAATACACCATATTGATAAACTCATCTTACAAAAAGTTCATTTTTTTTGTTATCTAATGCAATATAAATTTATATATTCATTCCTTCTTTTCTTTGAGGGTAAAGGTAATCCTTCACTTCTTATTAATAGTTAATTACATCGTGATAGAAAACTTATACACATCAATTCATTATCATTTACTGTGGAAATGAGCCTCTCCATCTTTCCTCTTCTAGTCAAATCTTCTGAATAGAACACATTTGCAATGGGAATGTATATTGTTGTTTATTCTGTAAAATATAAAAAGTATTAAAATTATAATCAGAAACCCCTAATATTTAATTGGAAAAAGGCAAGGAAATTTTGATAATTTTGTTAAATTCAAATATTTATGGAGTAAACAGAAAAACAACTTTTATATTTATAATATGCACAAATTAATAAAATATCAGGTAAGTCAATCATAAGTAAATTAAAAAGGGATGAGTATTAACTTTAATATGTATAATATGCACAAATTAATCAAATATCAGACTTACCTGATATTTGATTAATTTGTGCATATTACTCAAATATCAGGAAAAGTAACTTGAATCATAAGTAAATTAAAAAGGGATCAGTATTAATAAGGCTGGTTTAGTTAATTTTTTATCAAAGTAACATTTTATAGGACCTAGGTGAAAAATATTACCATCTATAATAAGTTATGATTATATTATGTAAAAAAAAGCAATTAAACATAAATAATAAATAGTTATTATGTAGCCAAAATTACTTCATAATTAAAGGTGTACCAACTAGAATTTTTGATGCAATCTAAAGGATCCAAAAATATACACATTTACTTTAGATTGTAAAAACTGTTTTGTTATAAAAAACACCATGTTGATACATCTTTAATTTTAAATAAGTGCGAACAAAGCCATTTTACATATTAAATTTTGTTACTTGCATCAGTCTTAGTAGCATGATGTTGCCTGTTTGCCATCATCTATGTTATTGTTGATCCTCTATAATTTTATAAAAACAACATTTAAATATACAGTTTAACAAATCCTTTTAGAACACTGCATGCATTTAAAAAAAAAACATTTTATATTAATTGATGATATATAAAAAAATAAGCTAAAAACAAAAGTTTAAATGGATTATGTTCATACATTAATATTAAAAGATTACATACCAACATATTTAACTTCATCAAAAGCTTTTCTAGCCTTTTTCAGTTCTTCATTCATTGTAAGTAAATCTTTTACACGGGCATATTTTCTTGGATCTTTACGCACTAAGAATATTATATCTTCTACTTGCACTCTGCCAGTTCTTCCAACTTCCATAGCTCTGAAATAGGAATGTATTATTTTTTTATTGAATGGTTCTAAGAATATATTATAGCTATTTATAGAATAGCTATGAAGATATTATAGCTATTTATTTATATAATCTTTATTGCCTAATACCAAATACCAAAGAGGCATTCTCTACCAATCAACCAGTAAGTGTGGTCTGGAGCTTTTAATGTGGTGATTATCATGTTGGTTAATATGTGCTACAATATACTAACAAGAACTTAATATATATATAAATGCTCATAAATAAGATCAAGACATGCAGTTCATAGCAAAATAAAAGGAGCTGCTGTCTGAAACATTCAAGTTTAAGCTATATACATATTAAATTGCTTTAGAATACAGATTAATATATTACGATAAACCAAGTACCTATGGGTAGTTTCAGTAATAAATTCAATTACTAGGTCTTCTAAAAAATCCACACTTTCAGTATAAGGATTTTGATCATCTCCAAAACCATACATCATACATCTTAACTCTTTACTGAACAATCTCTTGCGGCCAGATGCAGTGGCTCCAAGTTGTTGTTCTGACTCCTCTTCATCAAACTGTGGGCACAGAATATATGCAAGTTAAGCAGTGAGGTAAATAAAAGAAATGGTTAACCTCATGCACATACTGACCCTTCTACAAAAACTATTACATTATTATTGTAGCATGCTTAAATTCATTAATTCAGACCTGTCGTGTTTTATATTGACTACCTTTTGATGTCGGTAGTTACAAAGAATATTTTATTACTAACTCATTGCATGTATTGTTTTAATGGTTCACTGAGTTATGTTAGAATTGTCAAATATTTTTATACTAAATTAGATAAAAAAACTATCCATTAGAATGAAGAATATTTCATTACAAAATTCAACAATAGATACTTTTTTGGACGGATACATAGATAACTAAACTAAGTAGGTATATAAACTTAATAATAAAAAATAATAACATCTTTTGTTGTTATTTGAATTAATAAAAAATGTTGTTTTACCAAGTAATTTAATTTATCAACATATATCACTCATTGAGACGTTACCCATATTAGTTGCCAAAAAAACCATGCTTAAGGCAATTTAATAATAAAATGGCTATGAAAATAGCATTTCCCTTTAGTATTGATAGAATCGTCAACTAAAAATATTTTTTTTTATTATTATACAAACAACGATTTGCTACAAATATCACCTCACTCACTTGATCAAAATTCTCAGGATTATCAGGAGTTGGAGTCGTCATTATTATTACGTTGTAAAACAAAAAAAAACAAAAACCACTTTATATTATATTGTTAATTTG